TCAGATTATTACATGGTGGTGGCCAAGATGAAACTGAAGCAAAAGAAACACTGAACAACTGGAGAAACAGCATTACAAATGTTCAATATAGCCTTCCTTCGAGATACTAACAAACTCAAGGAATTCAAGATAACTCTCAACAACAGGTCTCAAGCCTTACAAGATCTACTGAAGGAAGAAAAAACTACTATGGAGAACAAGTGAAAAGGTATCAAAGAAGCATTAACTTCAACGTGTCAAGAGGTTCTGGGCCTCAAGAAGCATCATCATAAGGAATGGATCTCTATAGAAACATTGGAAAAGATCAAAGAAAGGAGGAACAAGAAGACAGCAATTAACAACAGCCGAACACGAGCAGAGAGAGTCAAGGCACAAGCTGAGTACACAGAAGCAAACAAGCAAGTGAAGAAGAGCAATAAAGCCGACAGGAAGAAATACGTGAAGAACTAGCAACGACGGCGGAAGCTGCAAGAGAAGGAAATATGAAACAACTATATGATGCAACGAAGAAACTAGTGGAGAGATATAGTAAACCAGAGAGACCGGTCAAAAACAAAGAAGGCATGCCAATCTCTGAAATTCAACAACAGAGAAAAAGTTGGGTAGAATACTTTGAGGAACTCCTGAATAGGCCGGCTTCAATGAATCCACCGAACATCGAAGCAGCACACACAGACCTTCAAACAGATGTAACTCTACCAACGACCGAAGAAATCAGAATGACCATCAGACAAATCAAGAGCGGGAAAGCAGCACGATCCGACAATATACCAGCTGAAGCAATGAAGTCAGATATCGAAGCAACTGCAAACATGCTTTACCTTCTATTCAAGGTTTAGGAGGAGGAACAAGTCCCGATGGACTGGAAAGAAGGACACCTCGTAAAGATTCCAAAGAAAGGAGATCTGAGCAAATGTGAAAACTAAAGAGGCATTACACTACTGTCAATACCAGGAAAAGTCTTTAACAGAGTGTTGCTGAACCGGATGAAAGACGCAGTAGACGGCCAACTTCGAGAACAACAGGCTGGATTCCGTAGGGATCAGTCGTGCACATACCAAATTGCGACACTACGGATCATCGTCGAACAATCAGTTGAGTGATACTCATCGCTGTACATCAACTGCATTGATTATGAAAAAACGTTTGACAATGACATTATGGAAACTTCTTCGACACTACGGAGTTCCTGAGAAGGTTGTCAACATAATCCGGAACTCATACGATGGACTACTCTCTCCCTTCCTCTTTCTTCTGGTGGTCGACTGGATTATGAAAACCTCGACATCTGAGGACAGATACGGAATACAATGGACAGCTCAGAACCAATTAGACGATTCGGACTTCGCAGATGACCTAGCCCTCCTATCACGTACACACGAACAGATGCAGATGAAGACAACCAGTGTAGCAGCAGTCTCTGCATCAGTAGGCCTCAGCATACACAAGGGGAAAACCAAGGTCCTCAAATTCAACATGGAGAACAGCAATCCAATCACTCTTGATGGCGAAACTCTGGAAGATGTAGAATCCTTCAAATACCTGGGAAGCATAATCGATGAACAAGGAGGACCAGATGCTGACGTAAGGGTGAGGATTGGCAGAGCAAGGGCCGCATTCCTATAGTTGAAGAACATATGGGACTTAACACAACTTTCAACCAATATCAAAGTGAGAATCTTCAATACGAACGTCAAGGCAGTTCTACTGTATGGAGCTGAAACTTGGAGAACTAAAACAACCACCATCAAGAAGGTACAAGTATTTATAAATAGTTGTCTACGCAAGATACTCAACATCCATTGGCCGGATACCATCAACAACAGCCTTCTGTTGAAGAGAACCAACAAACCCTCAGCTCAATAAGAAATTAGGAAAAGACGATGGAGTTGGTGGATAGGACATACATTACGCAAATCATCAAACTGCATCACGAGGCAAGCCCTAGCTTGGAATCCTGAAGGGAAACGGTAGACAGGAAGGCCAAAGAACACATTACGTCGGATAATAGAATGAGATATGAAAAGGATGAATAACAACTGGAAGGAGCTGGAAAGGATTGCCCAGGCCAGAGTTGGACGGAGATTGCTGGTGAGCGGCCTATGCTCCTTCATGAGGAGTAACAGTCGTAAATAAGTATGTAATGACCATTTAATCTCAATTCATTTTACATACGTTATTTCTCTTCAATTATTTGATGTAAACCATCGAAAAAATTGGTTTTTATCAAAAAGCCATACAGTAATTACTTTAGTGAATAAGTTAACAATATCATAATCACTGTTTCTTTTGTCAATCATTTTTCGGTCATTATTAATACGACTTCATTTCTTATTGATTATTTAAATCTTCCCACTGATGTTTAGGACTTAGATACAGTTCTTAACATCAGTGGGAAGATTAAAACAACCAATAAAAATGAATTGATTCTTTAACCCATTGCGTAAGCTAGTGGCTATTAGAACTCAGTAGCTAAGTGGGTAACGTGATGGCATTTGAAGTTAATTGTACTGGGTTTGACCCCCGGAGTCAACATCAATACGGATGCAGATATATCCAGCGAACAAGTTACAAATAGGATGAAACACGCGTCCTAGATTACACTACCAGCCACCAGCCCCCATTAATAATATAATTTCATGACTGGAAAAAACTATTTCCCATTTATAAATTATTTGTTACAGAGATATATCTTTCATTATATAGATAAGAGTATTCAATACGAATAGTTTTAATGAGACAGTTAATGATCAGTCTATTTTGTAGAATAAATATATATTCTATAAGTTCCATAACTTTTAATGAATAGCAGGAAATTAAAACTTATTTCTGTTAGAAAGCAAATTTAGTACTTATTTCACTCTAATCACCTGATATTGTTAATTATTGTGTTTCAACTGCATCATACAATTGCGCATAACTTATAAATATTGATTTTTATTATTTTGAACATCTGTTGTTGTGAAACAATACACTTATGGCTTAGCTTCTCACCCAAAGAGAATTGGACAAAACGTGTTACTAACCATATATATGTATCAGAGTCGACATCAATCTCTGGTTAATCGATCACTCTTACTTGTCTGTCAAGAATTATTGATAGGTATCTTCAATTCATCCATGTTGTTTGTTAGTTTAGACATTTTGAATATGAAGGAGTAGTTTAGTTTTAATATTTTAGGATTCTGCTATATTTCTGTTCAGATTAGATCTCCGGCGTTTACTAACTAGGCACGACTGAGATTTCTTTCAATAAAAATAGGAACTAATGCGAACTCAATAGTGCCATTACTGAAACACACAACATTGTAACCATTATTCCTAATACGATGAGACCTAGGAAGAAGATAGGAGTGCGAATAAAGTGACATTTTACAAGTCGAAGTAAAATAGAAAAAACTATCCACCAACAAGATATGGCTTTAAGGAACAAACGATTGGCAAGCCGAAATTGTTATCAACTAAACAGAAAACGCTAAGGTCGCGCAAAAATTAGGAAATTTTTTATCAAAGTTATCTTTTTTATGGAAGAATTAACATTTACTAACAAAGATTCGATAACCTGTGATCTTGACAGGATCATTAGTAGACTTTGTAAATAATTTTTATGAAAATTCAACATCACTCATAGAACAGTTAAAAAAAACGGGATAGAAATTAACACTACTCTCACTATAATCTACTACACTATATGAGTTTAGATCTAACACATCTAAACGTCGAAATGATCACAAAACATTTAAATCCCAATTTAGTATTGAACAGATTTGAACTTGAAATGAAAATGATCAGTGAATGACTATCCTATTTCAGATTTAACTTCAAATTACATTATTTACATTTATATCACATTAACTTCAATTGAAAATTATAAAGAAGCATTGATAAATGAACATCTGTTTTATTGTGTAGGTCATTTTGTTTCTTCAATAATATAATTACATAAACGCTAGTGATTATAAGATAATGATATAAAATTGTTGAGTTAGTCACTAACTACAAAGAGAGAATATGTATTTATGTAATTAAACTAATTTTGATGAGTAAAATAATATTAAGGAGAGAAAAAAATCATGGAAAAGAAAAACATGGCAAATATCTATTAGAAAAGAAGAAATATTAGTATGAAATAACTAAGATGAAAATTACAAAAAAAACTATTACATAATAACGTACAAAACATGAGGATTAAAATAATGGATCAATATTACAATTACATAAGAGCGCTAATTTCATTTTATGATTCATTTTTCCCCATATGAATTTATGAATTAAATTAAAAATAGAGAGAGAGGGGGGGAAGGAGGGAGGGAGTTAAGAAGAAATAACAGAGATACATAGAGGAAGGGAGATAGAAAGTGGAATTGTAATAGAAAGACAACAAAAATAATTCATTATTAATTGATCAAATAATTTCCTTAACTTTCATGTAGTTTTTTTTTCAGGTGATTGTATTCACTTCAAACTTCTACATTTTTCTATTTTAATGTGAATGAATATTTATCTTGACAAATAAACTTCAGAATGAGCTTTGTGGAGATTTTAGTAAATTTCACAGATTGAAATCATGAGTCAGTTGAAGCTAGACCACCATTGAAAACCTGGAAGCACTGGACGGCCGTTTCATCCAGTGCTTCCAGGTTTTCAATGGTGGTCTAGCTTCAACTGACTCATGATTTCAACCTGTGAAATAAACTTCAATTGAGAAGAGCATAAGAAAATACCTTTGATGCACCATAGTAAAGGGTGAAGAAAGTGAACATTAATCATGATTATTAAGGAATGCACATATTATGGTGTATACATAAACACACTTAGATACTGCATGTATATGCAATTATGATTGTTTTTCATTAAAAATAACAGGAAAATCAATGATGACATATACATAAATTGAAAAATCTGAAAAGATTGTAAATCATATTGAATGTGGATTTCTTCATCTGTTATTATTATTATTCACTTTTATTATTTCTGCTAAAAAAAAACATTTTTATTTCCTATCGAATACACGATCTACAGAAATTTCTAACTTTGAATTTTTTCTTTGTTTTCCCTGAATTATCCTCTTCAATGTTTTGCTCTTCTGTTGTACACGAATTCACTTCATAATGATCATTGGGATTATTTTCTGGAATCTCCGAATTTTCGGGGTCAATTAAAGCTGAATCAAATTGATAGAGTAGGTTAATAGAGTACAAGATATAAATATTTAAGGAATAAGTCACAGATCACTTTTAAACAAACATATATGTATCTTTTAAATCAAGAACTGATCTCATTTAGGCCACAACTAAAACCTGGAAGCCTAGGTATCCTAATATGGGACTCCTCAGTAATGGGCATCCATGACCTTGCATTTGCACCAGCGCTTAGCATTTAGACCGTTGAGCCGACATTCAACCGCGTTACTATCTAACTTCAATTACCCCTGATGTTGTGTAGCCCTTATTGATTACCTGCGATGGATAACTAACTTACTCCTGAGATGGTTGAACTCCTCTAGTTGCTTCTTGTCAAATGAACTTTATTTATTTTTTTCGTCAAAGAGTAAAATTTATCTTATTATAACTTATAAAGTCACATGTACTACATAATTAATCTAATGTGGATTTTCACTCAAGTCATAAATTAAGCTAAATCTGAGAGTAATTTCAACCACAGGCTTGTATGATCTAGAAATGAATTAAAAAAGACAAAGTAGCACCCAACAACAATTTTTTTCCCCGAGTTTTCTTACTAATCTACACCTACGAACCTGTAAACGATTGATCTTTATTTTTAGTAGCAGGCACTATATTTCTTGAATAATTAATCGAAATTCAATGATTTATATTAATTGTGACATTAATTGCATTAATTAAAGTGATAATCTGTGTTTGTAATTGATTTTTTTTATAAAGAAAAAAGAAAAAAAAATAGAAACGCAGACTAATTCATGGTCACAGTTAACATTAAAACAAATAACTAAAAAGAAATATCTAAATCTTCTTAAACGTGAAATAATACACACTTACACAACAGGTTATCATGGTATAACATTCTTGAAAAAATATATATACGTAGGTAACTATGACGATAAATAGTAGAATGTTTAAACTGTAGGCTAGCTACAACTATCAATGTTTATTAATAAAAAATTTATAACAGGTAGCTTGAATATTTACTTATGACTGGAACGTTCGTTATATTCTTTCACTGTGAGAATTGAATCAGGACTTTATGTGTAATTCGGAAATAATCACATACAAAGAAATATCTTCAATAATTAGATACAGTAGATGGATATAAGTATAATTATATTGAAATTAAAACACGAAGTTCAGCGAAGGGATCTCTTTTCAACGAATTTATTATCAAGCTGTACAATCGTATATCTATATGAAAATTTTGTTTTTGTGAAAGTACTAATTCCGTGAGGAAATGTGAACACAGTTAATAAAAAAGGGTTATAATACAAGATTACGTAATATGAATAATAACAATAGATTTAGTGAATATAATAAGATGATTAGAATGTTTTTGTTATAATAATAAAAGGTCATAGAGGTCTAAAAAATAAATAAGATGATATGGTGAGTATTCACGAATGAAACAATGAGAATATAAGACATGAGTAAAGGGGGGACTGCAGTAATAATAATAATAATAATAATAATAGGATAATCAGAATAATTAAGGCCAAGGTAACGACAACGATAAGACGTACTTCTTTTGTACACATAGTTCTAGTTTAAGCTCCTGGATGGTAAGAGCTTCGGCTATTTTTAAAAGTTCGATACGAAGAAATCTGGATAGATTTGAACGAATCATATAAACAACCTTAAAGTCAATTTGTGGATCTATTGAATGGTTATAGTCGATTAGGTGTTCAAGTATAGATCTCCTAACTGCTTTCCTTTCACCCTTATAGAACCCAGCTGGAATATGTTCCCGTATCCGAGTTGAAAGCGAGCGCTTTATTTATTTATTCACCTCTATGACCTTTAATTATTATAACAAAAACATTCTAATCATCTTATTATATTCACTAAATCTATTGTTATTATTCATATTACGTAATCTTGTATTATAACCCTTTTTTATTAACTGTGTTCACATTTCCTCACGGAATTAGTACTTTCACAAAAACAAAATTTTCATATAGATATACGATTGTACAGCTTGATAATAAATTCGTTGAAAAGAGATCCCTTCGCTGAAATTCGTGTTTTAATTTTAATGTTTAAATGGGAATTATCTGTCAACAAGTATATTGTATAATAACGGATACTAGTAAAAGCTACATTTCTCTTTGATTTATTATTATTATTATTATTCATTTACATGGCCTATATCAGGTTATTGATAATATGCACACAGATTTCGGAGATCTATGACTAAGCTAATCATTCGAATATTTTGAAAAATATATTCGTTACTATTATCCACAGTTTTAAAATTTGTTGAGAAAAACCATCTATATGATTTATAGGCATCAGTGCAAAAGTTGGACTTGATAGTTTCAAATAAATTGAGCATTGGATAATAAATATATTTTTTGTTTTATCCTAGTCAGTAAAAAAATTGTATTTTTGACGTTTCGTGATTTAATGTAGGCCACTTCTTCACAGTAACTCAGCCTGGAGTCCCTCTGGGGGTTACTGCCGGTCCCAAGCACGGTTAAAAGAGGACGGTTGGGCATAGGGTTAGCGATCCCATCCCGTAGAAAACTAACTCACTAAAAAAACGCTAACCAGAAAAAATTGTTCAAACCTTTTAAAATCTGCCTTGGGAATCAGGTCTTCAGTTAAAAGAGTTATGACGCTTCATGGTGAAAACCGAGTTACTTCGGAAGTCACGAAACGGATGCTCCTTCTGACAACGAGAGCAACCATTTATATAGGTACATGGAATGCTCATACAATGTGGGAGACCGGGATAGTCTTCCAAATTGCTGCAGAAATGAGGAAATACAACAATATCACAATATCACAAAAGTTCAATACGGCCTTTCTTCAGGATACTAACAAACTCAACAAATTCAAGATAGTCCTCAGCAACAAGTTCCAGGCCTTTCATGATCTACTCAGTGAAGAGGGAACTACTATGGGAAGCAGCTGGAAAGGGATAAAAGAGGCAATCACTTCAACATGTCACGATGTCCTAGGCCACAAGAAGCACCACTGCAAGGAGTGGATCACTGTTGATATACTGGATAAGATTCAAGAAAGGAGGAACAAGAAGGAAGCAATCAATGCCAGCCGAACAAGAGAACAGAAAGCCAAGGCACAAACTGAATACACAAAAGTAAACAAGTGGTGAAGAGGAGCATCAGAACCAACAAACGTAAATATGTGGAGGATTTGGCAACGACGGCGGAAAAGGCTGAAAGAGAGGGAGACATGAGACAATTGTATGATACAACAAAGAAGCTCGCTGGAAATTATTGTAAACCAGTACGACCAGTGAAAAGCAAGGAGGGCAAGGTAATCACTAACATTGAAGAACAGCAAAACAGGTGAGTATATCACTTCAAGGAACTCTTGAATTGACCAGCCCCATTGAACCCACCCAACATCAAAGCAGCAACCACGGACCTCCCAATCGATGTTCGCACACCAACAACTGAAGAAATCAGCATGGTCATCAGACAAATCAAGAGTGGCAAAGCAGCAGGACCAGACAATATTCCGACAGAGGCATTGAAAGCAGATGTAGCAGTAACTGTGAAGATACTCCACATTCTCTTCACCAAGATTTGGGATGAGGATCAAGTACCAACAGACTGGAAAGAAAAACTTCTGGTCACAATACCAATGAAAGGCTCTCTCACCAACTGTGATAACTACAGGGACATCACTCTTCGCTCAATACTAGGAAAAATTCTTCAACAGGGTATTGTCAAACAGAATGAAGGACTGCGTAGACGACCAAATCCGAGACCGACATGCTGGATTCCGTAAGGATCGATCGTGTACAGACCAAATCACAACTCTATGGATCATTGTGGAACAATCAATCGGATGGATCTCACCACTCTACATCAACTTCATTGACTACGAGAAAGCATTTGATAGTGTGGACAGAACAACACTATGGAAACTTCTTCGACACTACGGCGTGCCTCAGAAGATAGTCAATATCATACAGAACTCATATGATGGATTACACCGCAAAATCGTGCATGGAGGACAATTGACAAAGTCGTTCGAAGTAAAGATCGGTGTTAGGCAAGGTTGCTTACTCTCACCCTTCATCTTTCTCCTGATGATCGACCGGATCATGAAGACGTCAACATCTGAAGGGAAGCACAGGATACAATGGACATCTAGGATGCAGTTAGACGATTTAGACTTCGCAGATGATCTGTCCCTCCTATCGCACACGCAACAACAAATGCAGGAGAAGACGACCAGTGTAGCAGCAGCCCCAATAGCAGTAGGTCTAAACATACACAAAAGGAAAAGCAAGATTTTCCAACACAAGATAATATGTATCAATCAAATCACACATGACGGAGAAGATTTGGAAGATGTAAAAGCCTTCACATATCTGGGCAGCATCATTGGTGAGCACTACGGATCTGATGCAGATGTGAAGGAGTGGATCGGCAAATCAAGAGCAACATATTTACAACTGAAGAATATCAGGAACTCAAAACAACTATCTGTCAAACGACATCAAATTTTCAACACAAATGTCAAAACAGTTCCATTGATTGGGGCGGAAACTTGGAGAACTACGAAAGCCATTAAGCCATACAAGTGTTTATTAACTGTTGTCTACGCAAAATACTTCGGATCCGTTGATCAGACACTATCAGCAACAACCTACTGTGGGAGAGAACAAACCAGATCTCAGCAGAGGAAGAAATCAGGGAGAAGCGCTGAAAGTGGATAGGACGCACATTGAGGAAAGCACACAACTGCGTCACAAGGTAAGCCCTCACTTGGATTCCTCAAGGTCAAAGGAGGAGAGAAAGACCAAAGAACACATTACGCCGGGAAATGGAGATAGACATGAGATGAATGAACAAGAATTGGATGGAGCTAGAAACGAAGGCCCAGGACATAGTGTGTTGGAGAATGACGGTCGTCGGCCTTTGCTCCTTTACGAGGAGTAACAGGCATAAGTAAGTGAGTAATTACTTCTTCAGAATGAACAAAACTATTATATATTAATTATCGCCTTTGTAATCTAGAAAAACACTTCATTTTATATATATAGGAGATATTTGTTTCATACCGGGTTAATATGTCTTCATCAGACTTCATCGTTTGTCACAAATATGGGTGAGTACTGTAGAATACGTTAAATCTGTGTTCTCCCATATTTTGTGTGACAGTTTACTACTTACTAAAACTAAGTAGTTTACATTATACTCAACCACTTTATCATTTAACTCCGCCTATAGCTCTTCCAGAGTTACTGGTTCTCACATTATATTTTAGTATATTGTCAAGGAGTTTCGTAATTTACTTAGTTGTCTGTTAATCTGCTTGTCAAAATTTAATGAATAAACTATCGCACCTAGTAAACTAAATCCTCTGAAAATTAGAAACCCTGTATTCCGACTCTGGATTTTTAAAAAATCACGTTTATCTTTCATCTTTAAATTTTCATTGGGATTCCTTGTATGTAATCCAGAAATTAGGACTTAGAAACGATGTAGTTCAGCTTGAATTTTATTTGTTTTTCAGCTGATTATAAGTCCTGACGTAAAAAATTACAAAACTATTGATCATATATGAAAATGCTTCAAAAACGCATCCTGAATAGCATGTAGTTGACTTATTCAATGTGGTGTGACCACAATCATTAGGTATTCTCAACTTCAACGGTGAAACTGACTTCATACAGTCATTGGAGGTTAACATTTCATTAGAAGTTTTTTCAGTCAAATGAAATGGTACTTAGGTTTTTCTATGTAGAAGCATATGCTCTAGTTATTGCAAACAATACTACACTATTCATCAATAACCTATGTGAAAAATCTTATTTTATTATTCCAAAAATATTTTGGTCTAAGTTTTTAATGTCACTCACTTGGACTGGTTAAAGAACAACGATGCTGAGTAAGACGAGGTGTACACAGGTATTTTATTCTCTGCAAAATGAAATTATAAATATAGGTATAAATAGTATGACATATACAGAATAATTTCACCTTATGATTTTTTATATTAGACGATAAGATATTCACAAGTCTACAGCGTATTTGGATACGATCATTTCCAATTTTTAGGAACATCAAGTAAACTTAAGTGTATTTACATCATTAAATTATGTTCAACAATAGTGCATCAAAAAGTAAATACTCAAACTGTCATATGTTCAATTTAGCCTTGCTAAAAAAACCTCTGAAAAAAATTAGAATTCCTCAGTATTACATTTCATTTAGTTTGTTCATGTAAGCCGCTCTTGGTTCGTATATAAACATGTTTTGAAACGTCTAATATTGACCCAATGCAAACAGATATTTTATTCCAAAGATCAATCTTACTACTTTAATCATTTGTAAGTAGTCTGTAATATTGAATAAGTTTTATATGGAATTTTATAAAATCAATCGTTTCCTGAAATTTATCCACGAACAACATTCAGAGCTCCATCACCAAATTTAGGCCACGTAAAACTTGGGCAAATAGTTTGTACAACTGAAAATTTTACTAACAATAATCATTTATTATATATGAAAGTTATATTTGAAATAGTCTCAGAGATTGAAACTTAAATAATTCCAACGTTTCGTCCAGCAAATTTGTCTGAATTTCTCTAGGGTAATAATCAAAATCAAAATCATTAAGGAAATATATATGGCGTTTTAACAATCAAATCTGATCAAATCTATATTGTGCTAATCCAATCATATTGAGATGTTGACTTTAGCAAATAGGATAACATGAGTCGGTTAAATGAAAATCATGTGAAAAGTTTTTTTCCTTCATACAAAACATATTGACACCGAATATCATTCATTAGTAAGTCAATCTTACACATAAATACACAAACACAATTCGCTCAGTCATTTATTTTCACATCGTGAACTTTTGAAGGAGAATTCATCAACTCAGCTGAAGTTTTTGAACAATCAGAATACCAAGACCAATCAACCAGTCTTTAATGCTTTAAGTGTAAAGTTCTAAGCCTTAGTTGTCATAATATTAGATAATATCAATTGTTTATTACATTGCTTTATTTAATCAGTTAACAGTAAAACCAGGTAACATGCCTTAATACTTTAACTGTCATTCTAGTAAACAAACTTTTATGTATCTAATATCTGACTACACAATGCGTATATTTCTTCCTATTCACCAAACATCAATTAGGTAGCCCACTATTTCACACTACTCATTTATTTAACTTTTAGTCGCCCGTGATCTGACTCCAGGCAGATCGCGTGAATGATTATTGTTGAAATATACATGTCGCCAATTCTCGTATATTATCATCGACTTAAATTACGTTAGTGAATAACGGAATTAAGTAAGTCAAATACGAGAATAAATTTCGAATACGTGTATTTCATACATTCGTTTATCCAGACAAACGATAAAAGAAACAAAACCAAGAGAACGCAACAGAATGATGCGCGGTGGAGAGGGCATGCAAGTCAACTCGTTTTAATAAAACGTGACTAGATATTTTTAGTTACACAAAAATAGGTTACAAACATGTGATGATAAGAAATCCACACACACGTTTACATAAAAGCAGTCAAATTGGATAAGTGACAAGGTCGAAATGTGACTCAAGATGAATGAATAGATTGACCTATCCGGAAGCTAGAATAAGTTATGTGGGTTTGGCATTGTAACCGACACCACAAACCTCAAAGTTTTCAACAGGAAAATGTTTCTCACAATTTTACTAAAAAATAATTCACATGAGTGAACTTACTTCTAGAAATGTTCCCGGTGTTCTTATAACCTCTGCCACCATGACACCTGGAATGAAGAACAAACTTGAACTGGCCATCATCCAACCTAATATCACAGACCACTTCGGAAAGTGATATGGTTCAGGTTTGACAGCTCGCATATATGTGAGTTCTTCGTATACAATTACACTGAAGATAAACAGAACCTAAAGTATAAATACCATGGACAAAAATGAGAATCAATCAAAGCAGACAATATAACTGTTGAAAAGGATACCTGAAGAAGTTTGTGTGACCTATTATTATTATTTTACATAACAAATAAGGTGTATCAACTTTATGTATACGAATTACAAAGCAAACAGACTCTATTCTTCATGCAAAAATTATGTGGACAAAACCAGCCATTAAACAAAGAGTTAACAAATAAAAGTGTCTTATCAAAAATAATCACATTCAAATCGATAGTTTTCTGGTTGACTAAAAAAATTCACAAAGAATCTGTAACTATTCATCCATTTGATTTATTGTTGTAAATGACGAACAAGACGTCACTTGAGATACTGTATTTACCAATCAGTGTAACAGTTCAAATAATGCTACAATCGTATAGGTAGAATGCATTACTGAAAGCAATTTGAAAATGTGGTCAACGTTATGCCCCTTGTTCAGAGGACCAAGAATCAAATCAACAGGAGATACAATCAAAATGGAGAAGTGAACAGTGATAGGTTTAAGATCAACAATAGCCAATCAAAATGGATGTCTACGGAACAAGCTGAGTCATATGTGGAGAAATTTGAACACTTTGCATCTACCTGAAGTTTATGCCGATGACGTCGTTCAGAATAACGACGAAAGCTCCGTGACCAAACCATTCAGCTCAGAGAACGAAATTCCATCAAAATCATCTATTTGAGCTACAAATCTTCTCCATCATCTCAAAAACTCTTATTATTCTCAACATAACTAACAATATAATTGATCTGCTTCAACATCTGCTTAGCTAGTTTATCTTAATCATATAGATTGTTGATTTTGTAACAAATAAAAACCACTAACTTGTCGTCAGTAGAAGTCAATGACATCATATTCTCACGGTTTCCTTATAACAATAAACATCCAAACATACAAATACACTCATGAATTTTTAACCAAATAAACAATTTGAACATCAGATTGTCACGTAATCTTGCCATATTTAAGCCTATAATGGTATTTTTTTATTGAAACTTATACACTCTTTGATAATTTTGATTTTGATTATTATTCTGAAAACGTTTGAATTAGTTCATCAGGTGAAACGTTGACAATATTTATATTTCAGTTGCTAAGGTCATTTAAAATATAACATTTAGACATGAATATATATATAAGGGTAAAAAGAGGTCAAAATATCTATCTCATCACTTACAAATGTAAACAATGGAGTAATAATGCATAGGTATAAACAACAAAACCATTTAAGTGAAAAGCCATACATTGACTTCATATCATTTGCAAACCGTCTCCATCCTAAAAGAAAATAAAAGTTTTGTAAAATGTTAAGAGCGTATTAATGTTTTGTAATGAAAAAAACAATTAGTTTTAGATTTGGTATATAAAAAAATTAATACTTAAGGTAGAACTACATATATCTTAATCAACGCAAAACAGAGTACCGAGTATAGATCAAGTCAAATAATCAGATTGTATGTATAGGTATATTCTACAGTGTTGATAAAATCCTGAGGTACGAATATGGAATATTTATTATCAATGATGAATCTGTAAATTGTATAATAGCGATAAATGGTTATATTCTAAGTAATGAAATAGTTTTTATATTTTGGTTGATATGAAAATTCGTCATCAATTTTATCAAATTTACATCTATAACAAACAATAATCACAGTATTGATCATCCTCTGGTAACTCATTTACTGACTTATTTTCAAAGAATAAAATTAGATTTAGCGCATTAGTGTTTATACATGATATGAATAAGTGAAATGTCATGCTAAGCAATAATCCATACAAACCTCCCACTATAACATACAGGTTGAAGTGGTGATATAATAAAATCACTGACAACGTTAAGTTTTTAGTCAGACGAAAAATTCGTAGATTGTATTTTGAGTTAAATACTAATGTTGGCATTATTAAGGTAAAATTTAATGATAAGCAACGTTTCTAAAATTTATTGTCTTCAGATATATCATATGAGTTATTCAGACTATTGCAAATAACCACAAGCTCACTAGGTATTTTATCTTATACTTATGTATCTGAATGAGTTCATCATGGTTGCACGGTGTATTTTCGTATAACAACTATATTACAAATTATGTTATTCATCATATCAATTGTATAAAATAATGGTACTTGTACTAGCCAAATCACGCAATAAAAAAGTGCCCACAAAAAGCGATTCTGGCAACTAAACACACAATTGATTTATTCCGAACTTCGGAACGAGGAATTATTCTAATTTTTCGATTTAATCTCTATCTCATATATTCAGTGTTGTCACCTACCCATAACTTTGATTATGTTTTGTACATGTGTATATAGTAGTACCCATATATCCATCCACTTTCCATGTTTCTCACTTGATGTATGAAAACAGTCACCTTGTTATTCGCTAAATTGGTGTATTACAGAACTCCAGTGCATTATACAATTATATCTTGTGTTTTTGTCTGACTTTCAGTATAAGTATGAACCCTACATTCAATTCGTCTACGTTTGACAAACCATTGTTCTAAACGTAATAAATCGACAGAATATGTACGAAGTCAAGTAAGATCCATATTTCATGGAAGTTAATTTTGGAGTCAGACAACGGGAACTAAATGTTAACAAACAGACAAATACTTACATAGTGATTTTAGGATTTATACATATTAGATTTCTAACATTTTTGTCAATGTTACTTGGCATATATTTATGTTTCTATTTACAGTTTTGGTAAAATTTTAAGATAAAATTAATTAAAACAGTTGAACATCTTTTCGTAATCAATCTGGTACCCCTGCTGCTTACACTAGCTAATCAACAACTAATTTGAAAATAGATTAGAACAAGTCATCAAAAGACTGAAAACGTGCATCACTATTGAGATTCAGCAATCATACAAATTTATCAGACTTATCGAGGTCAAAATATGATGCCTTATGAAATCACTACCAACTAGGTAGACAAACGGTGTGCACGTTCATTCATTAACATAAACAGTAGAAAGAGGGTAATTTCTAAAGCAAATGTATACAAATAATTCAGTATAGAATTTGATGGTAAACAGAATAATCAATATTTATAATTCCTACTAAGGAAAATTACTTCAACATTTTCTATGATAGAAAGTATCGATCTAATTAATAATAAACCATAGAAAATATTTAATCTGACAAATAAACAATACAAATAAGAAAATCTAACTATACGTGTACAATACAACAGCACTTTTTTTTATATTTGACATTTATCATTGAAAACTGCTTCAAAATAGATGTAAATGTAAAACAATGTGTCGTAACATGAACCAATTATATGCTGTGTGATAATTGGAATAATTCATATATATATATATATATTATAAACAACTATAACTAACTGTGTCATAAATTATTGAAATCAATACAATTATTGTTTCATATTCAAGCAATGCAAGTACGTTTCCAATACATTCATCATGACGTAGTTGTGGTCTGGTGTGTGACGAAATCTCAGCACGGATACAGAAGTCTCGACTAGCTTTTTGCCAACTTGCGTCATTTATGGCGTAGGTGAGATATCCGTCTATCAACCAAAGGGCGTGTTTACTGCTCAGCAGTTCGTTCCGTCCTACTTTATGGCAGTGAAACATGGCCGGTAAGAGTAGAGGATATTCGTAGGTCACTAGTATTCTATCAAAGGTGTCCTCGAAACATTGCTCGTATATCCTGAGACCATCGAGTAAGTAATGCAGTTGTTAGGAAACGGATACTAGGTAAGGATGGTAAATCAATTGATGAAGTAGTGAAACTTCATCAGTTGAGATGGCTGGGATACGTGTTACATATGCCCAACCACCGACTGCCTCGACGTGCGATGTTTTATGATGTAGAAGTTGGAAGAAAGCTAAGGGTTGCCAGACCAAAATATGGCACAAATCCACGAAGTCACTGACAAGTGGACTGAGTCATGTTGGTAGGTGTAGACTACCTGGTTGGGGACCGCGAGATGATAGCAACCGATGGTTAGACACCCTGAATGACATGGCTCAAAATCGTTTGCAATGGCGCAGGTGCATCCGTTCTTTGTGTTCTCCTGAATCCTCCTTGTCTCTTTTTTTCTCTTTCCAAATTTATTTCAATGGATTATACTCTTTAAATACCACTGCGGGATTTGAATCGACAATTGCATCTCTGTGCTAATGTGGTGTGGTAACTCGAACTGATGTACCTACGTACGAAGTTCTACGCTGTTACTGACTAACTGACGTACTTTGAAAACTATACGGTAATACATTTAATTTAACATTATTTTTTTCAATATTAAAATCTTACCATATATGTAGCCAATCACGATGCATTCCAAAAATGTAACACATAAAATTATACGACTACCCGAATAATAATCAAATAATTGAAATATGTACATACCGCCCTAAAAGAAAGAAAAAACAAAACAGCCATAGTAATAAATAGATAGAATACAATGAATAATCATGGGGAAAAAATAATTCTTTTACAAGAATGAATTGAACAGAAGTAATTCATCACAAGTTTAAACTTTTGATATACTGAGCAAAGTGATTTACCTGGAAAAAAACAAAAAAACAATTTTTCTTATTGATCTGTTTGCTTATTGGAAATACAGAAGAAGAAATCAAATAAGATTAATGTAGTTTAATATTATTTTGACTATCCTATACGCTACTATTTAGGTTTTTCTTTTAGTATTAGGCTACATCTAGGCTATTAGAATGTACGGTTTTCCTTTATATATTTGTATAGTTTATATTACAAACTGATTTTAGTTAGATAACAACTGAAAACCGAGGAAGCTCTGAAAGGCGTGTTATGTTATTATGTGAATTTTGAACAATCAATATTTACAATCTCTCGTCTCGCGGTGATATTTTAAAAAAAACTAGGTCATCTGTAAAGAATCTAGTTGATGAAAATGGAACTTGAACTAAGATAGTACTAGGTGATTATTAATCCGTAGACATTAGATAGTTATTAGGTAAATTCTTCATAAATTGTTATTCTGTTGTTTTCAGTTGAGGTAAACTTGCAATCAAATATTATGTTCACTCTCGTGCTATGAAGATAACTTTGGCACATTGGTGCTTATTCATATGTAAAGTTCTAGGTTATTTGTAACATATGTGAAGTTTTATTTTATCAAATGAATAGTGGGGTTTCGGTATGAATATCAGCTTGTATATGAAAACATGTTGTTTGTAGTAAAACCTTAAGATTAGTTATTCTTCTTTTAAGTATGTATTTTAACTAAGAAGAGATTAACTACGTCGGCCTAATGATAAGCTAACTTTTCAACTGATTTTTAAAAAGTATCATTCATCGACTTAGAAGTTACGTAGCTTACAATAAAATCGGATTTCCAGTAAACTTTTTGACTTAAATATTGGGTTGCTCATATTGTTTGTTCATATATTTAAACGTAAGTTGGTAGAAGGTAATCTCCAAGAAGAGTTGAACTTATATGAAATGCTATTCACTACTCATCAACATGAAATATTTATAATTTTGAGTAAACTAATATATTCCGTAAGTTATTAAACATAACTGGCCTCAATACTGCCACCTCATATTTTTATCTAAACAATTAAATATACTTATAAGATTGGCAAAACCATACGTTTGCAATTTAATAGTAAATCCTTGGTTTTACGAATGGGCACATCATACCTAATTAACTAATTATAGTTAATGGAGATAAACAAAACATTCCGAAGCGTTTTCAGTTTTATTCCCAAAGTTCAGTTTTATAGTCGGTATATTTTATTGATGTAAATACAGTTCCCACCTAATGAAAACTAATATTGGATGGAATTGCTAAAGCATGAAAGTATTCCAACTTTGTATTGGCTGATTGAAAGTTCCCGTTGACGTTTAGGGCTACGATTGATCGGTCTGTTATTCGCATATATGAATCCTGTATAGATTGTCTTGATATTGCCCTAATTCACGAGCATTATAAGCAGAAGTGGATGGTGGCTAGCAGTGAAATCCAGGACGCGCGTTTTGTCCTATTTGGGACTCGACAACTGGATATACCTGCACCCAAGATTTGATGTCCCCTCAACTCTCGGATGTTGATGAGTCATAAATAAGATAACACGCGCGTCCTGCATTCTATTGCTAGACATTATCCATCTCTGCTTATGAACATAATCATCAACTTTTGAGATTGTTTAAATTTGATCAGGTAAAGTGCTGATTATTAACATTATGATTTAGTCAGTTTCCTTGCATAATATTGTTAGACAGATATAGATATACGCAGATAATCTATATTATAAACTTACTGCGAATCTAAACATGATCAGTGCAAATCTACTCATATAGTCTACATATGTTATGCCATATCAGAATTAATTTGAAAGATTTTATTTTCAGTGGAAATTATTCGTTGACCAGCTATTCAGTGTATCATGTTTGAATTTCAATACACCCATGATTATGCGGGATATAAATTTGATGAGAATGATTTAAAACTAACGTATCTTTTTACATGTCTTAAATACACAATTCTAATATAAAATTCTTCCTCCTGTAATTCACATATAGAAATGTGTTATGAAAAAGCAAACCGACATTAGCCAAGAGACACATAAGAAAAATTAATCTCTTTTTTTTAGAAAAAAAGTCATATGTACACAATGCTTCTCATTTTTTAGTAATACTGTGGTGTATACTACATTTGGTTGTCCCCAGATGTGTTCTCCTTCACTACAATACTACTAACATAACAATAACTATTTTCATATTTGTTATTAAGCGCACCTTAAATTATTAAGACAAATAATCGCCAATGTACTAACGATACAAATAAATTACAGATCATTCAGCTGAAATAACATGTATAATCAATAACCCTGCATACTTCAAATATTTGACAAAAGGTCTGTAAATATTTAAGTTGTCTTTGTATTATGTGTAAGTTTTATCTTTATGAATGACTCAAGAAAAGTACCTTATTAAGATAAAAGATCAGTTTGAAGATAGTTAACATTTTAGAATGGTATTTGATAAACATCTGTTGATATCTAGAAAACGCTAGACAACTGTCTAAGCTTTACTTGATTCTTCCATATTAGACGCGTTCATAACATTGTACGTTACGCTTAGACTATTAGGTTTGAATTCATTATTTCTCAAATTTAAATGCAGTCAATCGTTAATATTGCATCATCATCATCGTCATTATCATGTACTTCCGTTGACGAATTTCTCATTTCGTACCAGATTGAACATCACTAATCGTGACTTCCTAATTAAAAGCTTATAAAAGGTAAATAAACGTTTTGCCAGCCATTCTTTCATAAATTTTTTAAGTCATACTACTACAAATTATTCGCTACTTTAACCATAACAGAAACTAACAAAATTTCCATTGTAACAAATTCGTTTTATTTCAAAGGGTTTTAATCAACCTTAATGGCTTAAAATCATTGAGATGAAAGTTATGGATTGTTTTCGTTAGAAAAAGAAAAGAACAGTAACAATGAATCGGAAAATATAATGGTCAATGTAAACCATCGTTGAATCGATTAATTAATTTCACACAGTTTGTACCCTTTATGAATGTGAATAAAGCTAGAACAAACATTGATGCAGAATAATATGAATTCTTTATATTTCGTGGTTTCTAATCAACTGCTTACAACCACACAAGTACTGAAAGTTACCATTGAGGTAATATATAATGTGAAACAATTGACATAAATGAACGAAAAGGTTATCAGTAACAACTCTCTCTCACTAAAGATATATATATATATATATATATATATATATATATATATATATAGGGTTGTGGAGATTATTGAGTTTAGATTGATATCATGACTAGCACAATATCAGACCACCGTTGAGGACCTGGAAGCATCAGACGGCCGTTTCGTCCCAGTATGGGATTCCTCTTCAGTGCGTATCCACGATCCCACACTCTTAGCTAGAACACGGGACCTTCGGTCTCGCGCACGAACGCTTGATCCCTAGACCTTTGAGCTTGCATTCGACGGTAATGATGTCTAATTTTGGCCAATCCGCGACATTGCGCCACCGTCCACCATTGTCTTTAATGAGTAACTGCGTCACAACAGAACGGTTTAGAAGACATATAGAGTTGGAGTTAGAAACATAAGAGGCGGTTGATGTATCAATCAAATGAGTTCCGTAGAAATACAAAATGGATTGTGTGATAATTTTGAGTTTACGAACTGGAACTAAAGATTGACATGATGGGTTACGGAATAAGTGAAATAGGATTTGAAGAGTTTATATTAGTTGACAGAATTAAGTGAATGAAAACATAGTAGTAAAGGGGTGGTTTTGGTGTTTCTTATATAAGACCATATGACAAAATAAACACAAATAAAATAATGATGATGACAAAAATAAGTTACTATCTCTTTCTGCATACATAGGTCATGTCTAAATGTTTTTATTGTTATTGCTTCGGCAAATCGAAAAGACGCTGCGTTCTTTTGTTTGCTGACAATTTTAAAGGCTTGTGGAGTGTCAATGGTATGTCCGGTATCAAGTAAATGCCGAGTTATTGCAATCTTTGGAGCCATTTTGCCTGTCCCTATCAAGAATTTGGGAACGTGCTCGGAAATGGGAACATGCACTCTTTACTCTGTTCTTCCAATGTATGCACCTTGGAACGTAAATGTAAATTGGTAACCATTGTCATTCTAATTCTTTTCGTTCATTTATGTCAATTGTTTCACATTATGTATTACCTCAGTGGTAACTTTCAGTACTTATGTGGTTGTAAGCAGTTGATTAGAAACCACGAAATATAAAGAATTCATATTATTCTGCATCAATGTTTGTTCTGTCTTTATTCAATTAATTAATGCTTGATATTGTTAAGATGAATCACATCCAACAGAATAGTAAACAAATAGGGTTTATCTATCAATCAAAATAAACTACTTATATGCGTAATTATCATAGTTTCTAATCCTAACCATACAGAAACATGTACTGAAACAACGTACTAAGATAAAATATTCAAGGTATATATGTATTTCGAAAGATGAAGTATTATGCAAAACTATATTGATCTGAGTAATGTTTTTTCGGAGGATTTATAACACATCTCATATTCTCAATGGATTCTCAGCTACCAAAAGACACTAACAGAGTAGAAACATAATGTGAATAGAGAAACTCAGTTTTCGCTTAGAATAATCTTTACACTTATGGAAGAATAATTTAATTTCCGACTCACAACACTAGTCATCTAATTTACTAACTGCAATTTAATAGTACCGGACTGCTTTTATTTATATATGTAGTGGATTTTTTCAAACTATTACCGTTTTATCAGCAGAGATGAATAAATGATACGAATGAAATACAGGACGCGCGTTTTGCGCTATTTTTGATTCGTCAGTTGGATGCACCTACATACCGAGGTTGATGTTTACCCCGAAAATTGAACCCGGTACCGTTTGCTTCACATGCTGTCGCACTATCCACTGAGCTACTGAGTCCAAATAAGCACTAGCTAATGAAATAGGTTGAAACTTAGAATGTGTATATTCCTAAAACAGACTGATCAATTACAGTTCTAAAAACGAATGGGAAGATCCAAACAATCAATGAAAATGACTTATTGTTTCGTTTCTATATGTATCTCATCCTTAGCTAGATTTCTTCTACTATTAAGTATAAATTGATAATTAGTTATTATTCACGTCACAATTAACCCAATTTCGATATATAGAAAAACCGTCAGTTAAATCTTTTAATTGCCTAGTACATCGTATTTTAACGATGGTTTTCAACAAAGTTCAATAGAATACAATGTCAATTTATGTACGGAAACATTCATACTATATATTATATAATCGATGAAGTTACAATCAACTCATCAAAGCTTACTGATGTTTACTAGTTTTGTCACTTCAAATAATAAAGTAATGGTCTAAATCTTATTCAAACTTTGTCTATATCTTGTTTGCTCATATATAATAATTATAATATAAATGTTTTCTTCTCAATATGTTTTATTTAACATAAATATTTACAATCTCACATATGGTTTTGTGTAACAGTATGATAAAATACCTATCATAGTAAATAGTCATATTCATTTAGAGAAATATATATGTCAGAAATAAATAACAGGTTGTTGTATGCTATGAATCTTAAAACTGATTTTCACTATTCTTCACTAGCAAACACGAATTTCTGGTATATATATATATATACTAAATGCTTTGAACTATACGACAAAGTTGAAACATGAATTTCTAAACATTTCAAAATATAACGGATCACTACGTGTACAGAATGATCAAACACGTATAGATATTCTAATAATACTCAATAGCTGAAAAATTACTTACATTAGTCACCATAAATAATCCAATACCATAAGATATAATACATGTGGCTGCAACAAAACTAACTCGATACCATGGATTTAATATCACTTGAGGTAAGTAATCGGAGATTGCAGCAACAAAACCTTCAACTCCACCAAACTAAAATATTTAACATAGAAATACATAAAGAAAACAATTTATTGATTTATTACAAGAGTCATAAAAACAAACCTCAGCATTTTAAAAAAAAATGAATCATTAAGGAAGGATTATTTTATAAAATGCCAAAATTAATCCTGTACATTTGAACACTTATGTAAAAGCTATAATGTAAATCTTAATTTTGGAACAGTGATTTATCATGAATTCGAAAGTGAACTTTCTTCATGATCTTAAGCATTAAAATTTATAGAAATTAGTAGAAAAAAGTCATACATCTATTAACAATACAGTATTTGAACTTTTGTCTTTTTTTTATCTAGTCATGTTGTTCCGTTGAAGCTAATTTTAAAGCAAAGATACAAACTAATAATAATATAGATCGGGGATATTATGTTTTTAATATTCGTTTCATTTTAATTAATCCCTATGAATGTGGAATATGGATTTTTGTTTAATTTCTTTATGACTACAAATAAAACTTTGAAATCTTTATAGTTATAGTTTCTACTCTGTGAGCAGTATTAACATTTCTTATCGAGTAAACATTCCAACTATACAATTGAAATTCATAAACAACTTAATCATTTCCGGTTTATGATTGTTTTTATTTTCTTACAAGTTGTTATTAGTTCTTTTTTTTGTTTTGTTTACATGAATAAAACTTTTATCGGGTTTTAAAACCCTTATGTTGCTAGCTCAAAATTTAGCACAGTTTCTAATGATGGTGATAAAAATATTAGTCAATATAATAGGGTATATTTTATACAAGACATTTTTGCAGAACGGATTTTTTCAAATTATGTTTTGAATACAGTCAATTTAAGTAATTTACAAACATTATTTTATTTTGAAGACTACTTTTGACACTAACTGAAATCATCTGAACAATAAATGAATTTTAAGAAATAACCAGATAGTGAATTTGGGCTAATAAACAATGTTTTAGTAATAACCATACAAGAAATACATTCATGTTTAAACAGATTAATTCAATGAAATACACATCCTTCTTAATGTAATTTCACATTTAGTATTACATAAACATTTAAAGTCTTCTTTAATGCATCGAACTTCAGTTATACGGAATTATCTTATGTGTAGTCGATTAGATGTTATGGCTTTGAAGGTTTTAAAAAAAAAAGAATTAGTATATCCAGAGCATTCTGATGATTGCTTGTAACTTACTGAAATAGATTTTCTAAAAAGGCAGACATTCTTTAATCAGTTGTATTTAATTTTATTTAAATGTTGACGTCATTTTATCAAAGTTAACATGTTTTCATAAATTCCTAACTTGACAGATATTTGTCTCTTAGGTTGCATACATCTTATCAAGATTTTACCAGTATACATTTTGACATAAATCTAATCTAAAGTACATTTTCAGTCAATTTATTTTTTTAGGTTTGTATTCAAAAGTTTATTCATTAGCAATGAAACCTAACATCCCTTCAACTATTTATGTTAATAAGAAAAATCAAAATAAATATCTCTTTAGATAAAACCTTAACACAGCTAACAAACTCTTAATCAACAATAGTCGTAAAGATAATAAGGGAGCATGACTAAGGTTTATATATAAATTTAATTATTATCAGAAGGGATTTTGTGGAGATTGTAGTAATTTCAATAGTTGGGATCATGAGTCAATTGAAGCTAAACCACAATGGAAAACCTGGAAGCACTACACAGCCATCTCGCCCTATTGTGAGACTCCTCAATAGTGCGCAACCACGACCCCGCCTCGCGGGATTCGAACCCAGGACCCATCAATTAGACACTAACACCGTTGGATGCCGACTCTGTGTTCTAGTGGTTAAGGGATTGCGCGCGAGACCGATAGGTCGTGGGTTCGAATCCTGCAAGGCGGAGTCGTGGATGCGAACTACCGAGGAATCCCACAATTGGATGAAACGACCATCCAGTGCTTCTAGGTTCTCCATTGTGGTCTAGCTTCAATTGACTTATGATCTCAACTGTTGAAATTTAATTATGTTGATGAAAGCTTGATATTAATCGAATCAGTTTCATCAGTTATCTGAGAAGCCTATAGAAAAGAGCTTAACTTTTCAAATGAGTTTTGTCTTCACAATGACAAAGTTTTAAAATTATAGTCATTCTGGATCGTTTTACCTAATTAGTTTCCGATCATTTTCATGAATTACTTTAGTTTAATCGCTTGATTCTATGTGTTCAACAATATCTTCTATAAGGTATTTCCGGAATAATATTAATCAAGAGTATAGGTAAATTTGTGGCTAACAGTCCTGGTTAGGACTTGTACACAGCTGAGTGTACTTGCATCCCAGTCTTGATGTTCACACTGGGACTTGAAACCGGTACTTGATGCTTAAAACAATATACGTGTTATCCACTAATAATTTATGTCTTCATATTGGAATGATATAATTTTATCTTTCGTTCTTCCCTATACTTATGTTTTCAAACAGAGCAAGAACAACAAAGTTTGCAAAATCATCAATTGGATTCATTATTTATTTCACAGTTCTTCATCAGCTGCATACAACCTAAAGTTATAATATAAATATGGTTATCAACAAATATTTAACATACTTTAGTTCGTGAAGTTAAGATAGATGGATAAAACGTAGCCAAAATCATAATGATCCGAAGAATAGGGATACAAAGTGTACGAATAAATATAGTTAAGATCATTGTGTATTAACATGATGTGAAGTAATAAATTAAATGTTATGTAAAGGTGATGAAATTAATAAGTGATTAGGTAATCACTCAACACGATAAAATATACAAATATGTGAACATCAATCAGATTGTGTAAGAGATGAAGATTAGAAGACGAAAGAATAAAAATCTCTTTTATTTTGATTATGATTATTGGCAACCATAATACCTATTTTAATGTGCATTGCTACACACACACACAGATCTTAACTATATTTAATCGTACACTTTGTGTTCCTATTCTTCGGATTATTATGATCTCGGTTACGTTTTAAACATCTATCTTAACTTCACGAACTAAAGTATGTTAAACATTTGTTAATAACAATATTTATGTTAATAATTGCAATTTAATTTGAATACAGCTGATGAGAAAAAGTTCATGCTCTCTTTAAATTTCAATAGTTGAATTCATGAGTCCATGTATGCTAGATCACCATCAAAGGATCTGGTTGCACGAAAAAAATATAAACATTATAGTAGTACTAAAATAATGTTACATCTGTAGTTTATAAAACCATAATTGATGATCATAACTTCAAATCATATAAAATCTGTGAAGTTCTCTACGAAGAACTAACCACAAACTAAACTGTAGAATGAGAAATCAATAGAAAATGACCCCATTGAATATGATTTGAACAAGCAGTATTAAGTAGGTTTCCTCAGTAAATATATATATATATATATATAAGACATAAAATGTCTTAACAAGCATATTTGTGATCAGATTGTTCGAAATATATTGCGCAAATGTATCACATAATTCTGATAAACTTTGTCTTCTCATTGCATTATCGAAATTTATTAAAGGGACTAATTGTTATATATATTTATTTACAAGTCTTTTACAAGTAATGATAGGTACCATTATATTTTAGATACAATTGTTTCAAGTATGTGTAAGTTCACAAGGCAAGCCCTAACCTGGAATCCTGAAGGGAAGAGGAAAAGTGGAAGGCCAAAGAACACATCACGTCGGGAAATAGAAGCAGATATGAAAAGGATAAATAACAACTGGGAAGAGCTGGAAAGGATTGACCAGAACAAGGTTGGATGGTGTGTGCTGGTGGGTGACCTATGCTCCTTCACGAGGAGTAACAGGTATAAGTAAATAAATATGTGTAAATGGTGGTACCCACTAAAAAAAGAACTACTCTCATGTTTCTTCAAATTGTAGATTATGTTTTTCAATCCCATCCGTTCATCAAAACATTTGAAAGTGTAAACATTTATTTACTAATTATTTTCATAACAATATTTGAAAATTCTTTGGAAAAAAACACAAGTATTCAATGCTTAATTATTCCGTCAGTTATAATTGTATGCATTTTACCATATTCATTTGTATAATCTGATAATAATGACAAATAATGTAAACATTTTAATTAATTTTTAAAAAAATAATAATGAACAAATTCACTAACCATACTATCAATTCCCAATAGTATAATCATAATAAAAAAACAAAATGACCAAATAGGACTACCAGGCAATGTTCCTAATGCTTTTGGATAAATAATAAATGCTAAACCTGGTCCTGATTCTGCAATTAAATGTATTGGGACATTGGATATATAAGACATATTGCCAAGTGTTGCAAATATAACAAAACCAGCCAATAAACTTGTAAATGTATTTGCACCAGCAAATAAAAGACAATCTCTAAATGTTAACAAAAAAAAATAAATGAGATGAAATGGTTACAGTAAAATGAATTTATTAAGTTGTTTGTTTGTCTTTAAAAAAAGGGGTACATTCATTTCATAAAAAGGAAAATTACTCTTATTTGAATAATACAGAATGGTTCATCATTCTAAATCAAAATGTATTTCATACATTTTTCACTAATCGACTACAAATTGGTTTGATGTATAATTACCTGATGTAAATAACTATTTACATGATGCAAAGAGCATAAATATTAGACGAACGTTAAGGCAGTTGTACTGTATGGAGCTGAAACTTGGAGAACTACTACAACCATCATCAAAATGGTACAAGTATTTATAATTAGTTGTCTAAACAAGAGACTCAATGTCCGTTGATCGGATACCACCAGTAGCCGCCTACTGTAGGAGAGAACAAACCAGCTTCCAGCTCAAGAGGAAATTAGGAAAAGACAATGGAAATGGATGGGACATACATTACGCAAATCATCAAACTGCATCACGAGGCAAGCCCTAACTTGAAATCCTGAAGGGAAGTGGAATGCCAAAGAACACATTACGTCGGGAAATAGAAGCATATATGAAAAGGATGAATAACAACTGTAAGGAGCTGGAAGTGATTGACCAGGACAGGGTTGAATGGCGTGTGCTGGTGAGCGGTCAATGCTCCTTCACAGAGGAGTAACAGGCGTAAGTAAGTAAGTAATATAGTTGCATTCGAATTCACTATAAAGTGAGTAATCCACAAAATTAATATTGTCTAATCGTTTATAACATCTAATTACAATATATTTATGTTAATATTGTTTATATATAACCACGTTATTTTATCAAATTAAAAATCTTTTATTCTAACTGATGACCTGGGCTTATATGTTGGTTTATTTGGAGATTTAGGTTAATGATCTTGTCACACAAACGTCAAACACATGGCTTCACTATATAATTGCATTCATCTAATAATCTGCATTCAATTCACACGTTTTAATGATGTAAAATTTTATCATCATTCACTAATAATTTTTACGTATAAGAATGAATGTTTAAGATCTAGTGTGACAGTTTATTAGAAAGAATGAGTCAGTTTGTATGTATTCTATTAGATATATTAAGTTGAAAAAATCCAACTCATTAAGAAGATCTTTTAAGATACCCTACAAAGACTGATGAAACCATTCGAAATGTCATGTGATACATTAGCAATTTTGAGCTTACATTTTTAATAACTAATTTAAAAAACAACTGTAATCTCCAACTTTTTGACGATTTGTTTCATCGTTTTATTTTTCTCCTCGGTTTTTTTTTAGATTCGCTTATATTTATTTAGTCTATTTAATTCTCAGTGCTCAGTAACCTACTTTCATTTTTTAATTATCAACCATTCTCTGATTTCTTTTTTATGATTGAAGATTTATCTTTCTTTATAAAAAACAGTTTCGTTCTTAATCATGATAAAAACAGTTTATATCATAATCTTTATAATATACTTGTGGGCAGCTAACGAATACTCGTTGTTTATAACGTGAAATATTATAGGAAATTAAACACTAGTCAGTTCCATAGTGAAACCTTATGATACCTTCAATAAGAGTTAAATTGAATGAACACTAACAATGTATGTTGCCTGTAATCAGCTCAAATAATCTTTCCTTATTTAAGCGGTTATATTGGATTATACACTATCTTTTAAAAACTCCGACTTTTATTTGATAGATCTAAAACAAGTACAATTAAATTTGCATTTTGTGTCTTGTTTTCCTATGACTACTCGGTTTTATGTACTAAATGTAGAACTGACTATTAAGTTTCACAGTTTTGTGATAAATAAGAAGTTAAGTAATGAAAGGACATTAAGGCTAATTTGATTTCTCTGGACACTTTATTTCATGAATGAAATTCTAATAGTAGCATTTCTTTTCAAAATAACCTGATCCAAGATAGTACTATAGGGTCTCAGTGGAATTCGTTAAATTTATCGACCGCTTTTTGTCAAAGATACATAATACTAAAGGTAAAACTGATGATGTGTTCCATACAAGAACATAATAGCTATCCAGTGCTTTCTTAGTTCTCCCGATTACCCAGCGTATGTCGATTCATAACGAAAACTACTTTGAAAAAATACAATTTACTGATGATGATCTGAATTTCCGAGTTTCCTTCTGTTAATCTTTTTATCTTAATCCCTATAATATAGAAATATCTACCAACCAAAAATACCAGTTACAAAGAATTTAGATAATACCAGAAAACTTCCAAAAAATTGAAAAGATTAAAAGTAGTGTATAGTTCTAGTGAACACACCTACCTAACTGAATTATGATGATAACGATTATAACTTCCCAATGCAGACAAAGCTCCTAAACCGATAGCATAACTGAAGAAGATTTGAGTTCCAGCATCTGACCAAACCTATAAAGAATGAAAATAAAATTATTTTTACAAAGATTATTTATTACGCTTTCTATAAAATAAAATTTTCTTGATTTGTATTCAGAAGTCACCATAATAAATCATACATACTACTTACCAGATACTAAGTATACTTATATCAGCTAGATGAAAATCATGTAAACAAATGATAATTTAAGAATCGGTGAAAGGAGCTTTCAAACGGGAAGCACTGTTTTTTTGCCTAGTTTTCATATGATTTAGTTTTCACCAACAAGGTGTACCTGCAAACTTGACGGAACTAATCCCTCATCTTAGTATGCAGTCTGAGATGTTGCCATGTAGCAATTCAGAAAATAACTGACCTTCTGCATGACCAAGATATTTACACTTACTGATTACTAAGCACAGATCGTTTATTGTTAACCTAATCCTCTAGTACTGACCAAATTCTATCATTCAGCTAGCAATGGGCCACTAGTCTAAGTAACTCGACATCGCGTGTTAAAATATAATGGGGTTGGAGATAATCAACAGAATAATTTAAAGTATAACTGTTTTACAATATCTGGTAATATTTTTTTAAAAATTAATGTTATCATTTTAGTTTTACTCTTCATAGAAAATGTAATATTAACAATGTAAAACTGTTATATTATAATTCCTTATTACTTTTGACTTTTAAAAGGAACAAATAACAAGAAGGAAATACATCTTTCTGCCAAAGAATTTTTAGTGTACAGCAATTCTTGTCAATGCTTAGAAAGTGATTTATCACAAAACGTTCATGTGAGTTGTGTATTTTCCTCATAAGCATATAAACCCACCAGATAACTAAGAGGGTTATGGGTTGTATCACATATGAGAAAGAGGGTGAACTATTCATCGTGTGTAACCTCTTCTGAGTTGATACATTTGTTCGTTGAAACCCACTTATTTATAATGGTAGGAATTATACTTTTCAAACTGAATTTTTCATCACCTTCTCACATGACGTAATTTCATGTATTTTCTATGAGTTTTAACCTCTATTTACTGAACAGCAGCACATATGGGTGAAAATTCAGTTTTTTCTTCATATAAACGTTACATTTCATAGCATCAACAATCTCGTAGTTGTGGTGTATGCTGCCTATACTGACAGATATAAGTAGCATGCAGCCGCAATCGGAAGTGGGATGATTGGCAGCAAAAGATTGGATTAAAGAGAACATAAATAAATCGGTGAGCAATCGAAATAACAATGCAAAGTAGATATGCAAATGACGTATTTAATTTGTGATTTTCATATTTTGCTAAGGAACTGTGTAATATTGTATTCAACAATCAATTGGTTTCCTCCAACTGAGACTCATTCACTACCTAGTCGTCTAAAAATATAATCAAGGTAGTCTACAGAAATCTACAGTATAACTATTTGGGTTCAAAAGATTTTCACTGTATGAAATATGTAGTCAGAAATGAAATGAATTCACGGAAATATCTCTCGAATGAATAATTATATTTAGATTTCTTAACTTTTAATACGAAAAATGCATTTCGGAAAAACAATTATAACTTTGACAAATGCTTTAAGGAGATCAAGTGTATAACGAAAGAAACATTAAGAAACAACCTAATAAAAGGACGTCTAGTAGATTATTAATTTTTGATTAAGATCATGAACCGATTGATGTTAGGCTACCATTGAAAACCTGGAAGCACTGGACGGCCGTTTCGTCTTATAATGGAACTCCTCAGTAGTGCGTCCACCATCCCTCTCGCGGGATTCGAACCCATGGCCTTCACTCTCGTGCGCGAACGCTTAACCTACTGGACCACTGAGCTGGCATCCAATGGTCTTAATGTGGATGTGCACTACTGAGGAGTCCCATAATAGGACAAAGCGGCTGTCCAGTGCTTCCAGGTTTTCAATGGTGGCCTAACATCAATCGGTTCATGATCCTAATGAAAAACTTAACAATCTTCACACCCCCTAAACTGAATATTATTAATTATTTATCTATTGACTATGAACCTTTTGCTGCAAATATTTATAAATGCATATGAAGTACTTGTCATTGAGCTCAGATAATTCAAACAATGAATACTCATAGACCCAGACTGACAGATATTCATGATCTAAGACTAGTAAATCATAATTATTTTTCATGGAGGTACATACACTTACTGTTTATTTATCATTTTGGTCATGTAGACAAAAAGTTTTGTAAATAATCAAATTTTTAAATAATAAATAATCAATAAAGAACATAATTCAAAAATGTTTTCAAAAATCTTCGAAGAAAAGTAAACAGTATGACTTCACAATTCAAGACAATTAATAAAATGGTAAGAAAACTTGTGATTTGAAGAACAGTGTTGTTTGTTTGTTTTTTAAATTAAAGATTGTTTATCTAGAAAGATCATTCTGTTCTTCAAATAAATTTTCATTTGACCTTTTGTAGAATTTGTTTTTGACAAGATCAATAAACATGAGGGAAAAGAATAAGCTAAACAACAAAGTAGACAAACAGTTTTAGTAAAGAATCTACATTAACCACAGAATTAATTGAAAATAAGTTATTGTGAAACAGTTATTTCGTCTTAGTTTGGTGTTTTTCCCTAGAATGTATCCATACCACAATACAAGTTTGATTAAAATAAAACAAGTAATACTTCATTTGATTTCATATTGTATAGAATGCTCATTTAATTGGACTCTAAACATTAAATATCATTATATTCAATCAATGAATAGATCAGTAAATAAGGCTTGTACTACTTTCAGACATGTTTATTGATGTGTTCATACTAAAGGAAAATTGAACTATCTGCAATCATTAAACTAAGACAGTATATATGAGCGAATTGAAACTTACATGAATATTGAACAACTGTTATGTGTTAGGAACACAATAAACAATAGATCGAATAAAAATTAATGTTAATTAATGGAAGTTAGGTTGAAAAACTAAAATTTTAATCCCTGGGTAGACTGCATAGTATCAAACGTTTCTATTTCAACATGTTAGATAATTTGATCATAGTAGTAAATAAAAAACACAGATAGATTGATTTACTACAGATTATTAACAAATCATTATCATAAAGGTTTTTTTTCTGTTATGTTATTAATTTCGATCTGAAAATATACATATATGAAAACTAGTTAAAGATTGAAGAATAATGAAAATTGAATGAAATCATCAATGAAGTTTAGACATGGAGAGACGTTTTCGACAAACTACATCTAACCGGTCCTTATATATATATATATATTGGTTTAGTCTAATTTCAGTAAACTATAAAAATTTCCTTTCAAGAAAAGAAAAAGATTATTCTACTCTCCATGTATAGCTTTAAAAGGTATTATTCCCATTTTTAGTATGACATACATTTATCCTAAAATATTCAATTACAAAGATTAGTGTATTATTTAAAATTCTTTTTAGTTTATTTATTTACTTACTTACGCCTGTTATCCCATATGGAGCATAGGCCGCCGACCAGCATTCTCCAACCCACTCTGTCCCCAGCCTTACTTTCCAGTTCTATCCAGTTTATGTTCATTCATCTCATGTCTGTCTCGGCGTTATGTGTTCTTTGATCTTCCTCTCCTCCTTTGACTTGAAGGATTACATGTGAGGGCTTGTCTTGTGACGCAGTTGGATGCTTTCCTTAATGTGTGTCCTATCCACTTCCAGTGCTTCTTCTTGATTTCTTCCTCTGCTGAGATCTGTTTATTCTCTCCCACAGCAGATTGTTGTTGATAGTGTCTGGTCAACGCATCCGAAATATTTTGAGTAGAAAACAGTTAATAAACACTTGTATGACTTGATTCTCCAAATTTCTTCCCCAAACAGTAGAACTGTCTTGACATTTGTATTGCAAATTCCAACTTTGATGTTGGTTAACGATTGTTTTGAGTTACAGATGTTCTTCAATTGTAGATATGTTGCCCTTGCTCCGCCTGGAGCCCCCCTTGAGCCACTGCCGGTCCTAAACCCAATTAAAGGAGGAGGGTTGGGCATGGGGTTAGTGAACCCATTCCGTAGAAAACTAACTTTCTAAAGAAAAACGCTAACCAGGGAAAATCATTCAAACCATTAAAACTATTTTTTAGTGACTATGAATAATATCTCCAGTGATAGTCTAAGATTAATATTTAATACACTAATTAAATTTATTTCTCAATATCGTGCAACCATCAAATATGATATAAATATGTTTCATTATGATTGTTGGTCAAATAATTTGTTTTTAAAGTAAAACATCTTTTTCAAAATTAAACAAAACGGTTTACAAAGTCAAAATCTTATCTCTAATATTATATAGTTGTTGCATATTTCTTTTTTCTTCGAATACAGTCTACATACATTTTGTTTAGTATCACTATAGATACAAATGAAATATATCAAATGTGTCGAAATTCAGTCACAAACAATGAAAATCAATATGTGACATACTTAAAAATATTCAACCAATATATAGTAGTTCATTGGAATTCATTAAAATATATAAAAGAATTTAAGGTAGATTTAACTACTTATCAAATGTATTTCATTTTACTATTCTAAATAACGTGTCTATACAAAAACGTATCTAGTGGATATGAAATAAATATTGTTGTGAATTTCATTTTAACATTAACTTTCTTTTATTCAATACTCATTGACTTTGGATATTATCAAAACATTATTAATTTCTTATTGAAACTATGAAATAATCTGATATGTGTTTTATAAAATAATTCACATCAAGTTTGATTAAATATTGTGTTCTGTATGTACTTTCAGAGAATGGTGCTTTGGTTTGACTGAGTTGAGTGGTTTGAGCTTAACAAAACATGGCATCAGTACTTGAAGTCACTAACTTCTAGTCTAAGCCATGTTAGTAGATGCAGACTACTTGACTATCATAACTAATGTTTGGAGACTTTGGGTGACATGGCTCAAAATCGATCACAATGGCGTAGGTGTATATACTCTTTGTCTTCCCTTAAACTATGAGATTAAAATTATTTCCTACCTTTCTTTCTACCAACTAATTCTTTCTTCCTGTACTATATCCTTATGCACAATCATTTTTTTTAAAATATTACTACCAGTGAAGTAACTACTTCTATGAATTCGGTGTTGATCTCGATGTGCCAATGAGGTATGACAGCTACATTATAGCTGACTGAATGACTGACTTAATTGAAGCTCACTACTTTTTGAACTGCATTTATCATTTTACATCTACAGTTTAGTCCCAATTCAGATAATGTTTCGATTCGTAAGTTAGAATACAATATACCTAAACAATTTTAATCAGATTCGACATCAGTTAATAATTTATTTTAACTATATTTTGTACTGGCTTGTCGAAAATTATTTGTTTTAACCTGCATTCTTTTTTACTATTACTTTCTTAAACGTACACTAATTATCTAGTACCCTAATCATTCATGTTCAAGAAAAAAAACATTATTCTAAGTTCTTGTTGTTTTACCAAACTTATAATATATATCAGTAGTATAGATAGAATGTTTGTCAACTTATGATTAAATTTTTCGGAAATTTCCCCTCTCCATTTAATTTACATAGAATGTCATTTATTCATCATTAACTTTTTAAAAGTACATTTCATAACACATGTCGATAGAAATCACTGTAATAATAGTGAATACCTTGAAAAATCAATAAATTGTAATAATAATAATAATGATTTAGAAAGTGCTTTAGAAATACAACTTTTGTCCTATATTTTAAAACAAAAAGTTTGAAAATGATTTCAATGATTTATCATTCATCTTTTTTTTCAAGGAGCTCGGCTTTGTTCCTCTTTTGTTCTTCTTTCTTCTGGTGGTCGACTGGATTATGAAAACCTCGACATCTGAGGACAAACACGGAATGCAACGTACACCTCAGAACCAATTAGACGATTTCGACTTCACAGATGACCTAGCCCTCCTATCTCATACACATGAACGAATGCAGATAAAGACAGCCAGTGTAGCAGCAGTCTCTGTATCAGTAAACCTCAACATACACAAGGGAAAAACTAAAGTCCTCAAATACAACACGAAGAAAAGCAATCCAATCACACTTGATGACGATACTCTGGAAGATGTAGAATCCTTCACATACCTGGGAAGCATAATCGATGAACAAGGAGGATCAGATGCTGACGTAAGGGTGAGGATTGGCAGAGCAAGGGCCGCATTCCCACAACTGAAGAACATATGGAACTCAAAACAACTGACTGTCAACCAACACTAAAGTCAGAATCTTTAATACGAACGTCAAGAGCTGAAAGGATTGCCCAGGACAGGGTTGGATGGAGAATGCTGGTGAGCGGCCTATGCTCCTTCACGAGGAGTAACAAAGGTAAATAAGTAAGTAAGTAAGTCTCTTTCAAGGTAAATATTTAAAAGAAGAAACAAACAAACAACAACAAAAGAAAAGAAACTGAAAACAATCATTTATTCCTTTATATAAATCATGAATTATAATAACTAATTAAACTTAAGTTAATAATTAATAGATTGATATTATAAACAGTTAATTTATTCTATTTAGTTACATAATAATCTAAATTATTTTAAGTAGTTTATTCCATATAGTTTCTTAATTATTCACATTGTAAGCTATTTATATTATCTTAATAGAAATAAATAAATAATTATATAATCAAATTTAGATCATCTATTCTATAATTGTAATGCTATAGAAGCTGAATTTAATTAATTAATCAATAATTATTGGTGTAGTGGCTATGCTTCGTTAACCAATCACCCACGTGACCGTTACCATATAATCCTTAACGGTGTTTGAAATCGGAAGGCAAAGAGAAGCAGCGACTACAGTTTTATTAGCAGATAACTCAGACCACAAAGTAGTGAGGTTAATGAGTGAGTCAGCGAACGGAGAGTGTATAGAGTGTGTGTAGAGTGTAAATATATATATATATATATATATATATATATATAGGGAAATGAATGGATCATCGAATCAATTAAGTAGTTAATAATAAAGCTAGCAGAATGAATATATGAGTAGGCGGTAAGCAATGTTCAAGCATACAAATTTCAAACAAGCACAACATTAATAAAGGTACGATAAATCGTTATAGTGAGGATGACTTTGTCCGCTAAATAAGTTAACAGAAGCGCTTAACTGAATTAGATGAGAACAAACTCAATTGCACGTGAGTTGCTATAAAAGTTCAATATCATAAGTGATTAGTGAATTGTTAAATTATTTATTATTATAGTTAAATATTTAATTAATGATTATATTTATTAAAACTTGTTTTTTTCATTTACTCTTATATGAATAACTATGTCAGTATATTAATCGTATAATTTTATGATTTTGAATAAAAATGTTTGATCATAAAGAAGGTTTAGTAGAAATTGTAGTAATTGAATTCATGAGTCGATTAAAACTAAATCATAATGGAAAGTCTAGAAGTATTAGATGACCATTTGGTGAAAGATTAATCTCCAGATCACTAAGGTAACATCCAATCATGTTATTGTCTAATTTCAATCAATCCATAAAATTGCATTCGCGTGCAAGACCAATAGGTCCTGGGTAGGATCTTGAATGCTCACTTCTGAGGAGTCTCATACTAAGATGAAACAGTCGTCTAGTACTTTCATATTTTTCATGATGGTTTAACTTTAATTGACTCATGAGTTCAACCATTAAAAATGTTTTAATTTCTTCCAGGTATAATTACAATTTAATTGAAATAATAAGAAAGAAAATTTTTTTAAATTTGGTAAAGAAAAATCTTGTCAACACGAAGTTTAAACTAAATATGTTTAAGTAATTGTACTGAAACTTTTTTTGAAATGGATTCAAATAAATTTGAAATGAATGATGGAATGTCTTTTTTAGATCTTTAGTAATACTATTAACTTCTTTAGTTTTCATAAACTAAATAGTTGTTTACATGTTATATTCCAAAAGAGAAAAATATATATTTACATGAATTTATACAATGGAAATTTTAATATTTACATATTGGCTTGTAAAACATATACTTTTGAGTAATTAAAACCAAAAAGACTTGCATATTCTACAAATCGTTTTAGTAGAAGTTTTGTGCTGGATAACTCAGAGCATATAAGAGTATGTTATTATGTAATCCATAACGAATCAGTAAGTATAACAAAACAAAATGTGATATCTTAAAAAATGAATTGACATTTCTTTTTATTAGAAAGTGAAAGAATATAATTTATAAATTTTGAATTTGGTTTATTTCGATTTGCCACTAAGAACTATAACTTTATTGTAACTATCAAAAATTTGCACCGGTTATAAATCAGAATAGATTTTAATTCATTTTTGTATTGTTTAATTGAATCTTTTCATTGATGTTTACGGCTATGATTGATCAGTCTTTATTGGCATATGTACATGTGCTGTTAATAACCTCAGTTATGCTTCGGGGTACTTTCAGCTGACGAGTCCCGAATAGGACGAAACGCGCTTTCTGGATTTCACTGTTAGCTATTATCCATTTTTAACTCAGAATGACTTCTCCTTTTTCTCCCTAAATTGTAAACATTTTGGTAAGTTTTTGAAATAAGGAATATGTCATCTGTTAACGATTCCTGTGTAGCAAAATTAAAGTCATTCTTTTGAAAAACTCATTATTTCATTCTGTCTGTTAACCGAAATGAAAGAAAAACACAGGAAATTTACAAAATTAAGTTTTACATATGTACATCCTCAATGTAAAAAATATTACTTACTGTCATATCTGTTAATTTATCCCAATCTGGTTTTAAATAATACGTTATACCATTTAATGCTCCTTCTAACTGAGCTGTTCTTATAAGTAATATAATCATGAATAAATATGGTGTAGTTGCAGTTATATACATAATCTAAAATGAAAACGAAGTGAACAGGAAGATAATTATCAGATAATCAATCTTTCCGGAAATAAATTACAAATTAACTTTGACATTACGTAACAATCTTTGGTTATTAACAATAACCAAGTACAAACAAGGGAAATTACCTTTACATTGCACTGCACAAATGACAATCAATATTACTTATGTCTACAGAAGTAATGTGGAGTATCTTTGATTGTTGTTTTGAAAAACAATTCAAGTTACGGAGTTATATCTGTTGCGTAATCTTATACTTTCCACATTATCTACAATGATACCCACCTACTAAGTTGGTTTTGTCGTAATTACCTAATGTGTCTATGCAGTTACTTACAACTGTTATTTTGATTATTATTAATTAAGCTACATTAGTTCATCAATCTTGATTGATATGCTTGGCGTTATATCTACTGTGTTTTTCCATCTACAACGTTCAAATAAACTTAATCTGCTAGTTTTAAACCTTCAGTTCCTAATCGTCGGATAACTCTATACTGACTATTAGTTTACTGTCGACAAATTTATATACTTAGAAGCTTTGTACACAATTAAATCTTTATGTAATTGAAATAATGCATTTTTCCGTTGTTGTAATATTAAGAGTACGCGTTTATTGATTTTCGATTCTTAAACTATATCTATCTGTCAATAATACAATGAGTTATTGTCATTGAAGCTTAGCATAATAACTCACCTTACTGTTGTTCTAGAAAAATGAACAGGCTCTAGCACGACTAAAGCGTAACCAAGTTTGAAAACTCGGAAAATAACTGTGAACATATTTAAGTAGTATAATGAATATAAATTTTAGCAATTAGCCACCCTTTACTATTGAACTTTTGCTTATATAACTAAACTGGATATAAGCCAAAGTTCATTTACAAAGTTTACATTTATTCATACTGTTGTGTAAATCATGTAAAAAACAAAGCTTAATCAGCACGATTATGACTAAAACATTGATAAACAAGTTTAAACGAATAACTGAACACCATCCTAGTTAGTACATTATAACATGAATGAGGAATTATTCTTGTATGAAAGCAGTGAAATTACCTTTGATTTCTTTTATCATTATTTATATTTTAAGCTCAGACTCAACGATTCTAAACGGTTTTAACATAATTTTATTTAATGATATACTAAATCCTACGATGTATCGATCAGCTTTGTAGTTCATATAGAATGTGTATAAGCACAATTCATTGACAAATTATATCAATCAAGAATTCATTATTCATTAAACCTATTAAAATCATATCCAAAAGTAGATAAAACAGATATTTATGAGATTCCAAATTATACTTCTAATACGATCAACTCTTTATAATTTGTATCCAAAATTATCAGACTTCTACTTTTATTAACTTGTTAGATTTATCTCTTTTTTTCAAAATGATTATTAATTTGAATCAATCTGTTAAAGTTCTTTGTGAATAAGAGTTTCTAATAATAAAATCTTTTATACTACTTAATTACAATTATCTGGCTTGGTAATAACTTTAGAGTAAATCATACTATGAAATTAATTTTACTCATTTATATAAAACATATGAGAACAATTTAAACCAATGACAAATGTTCATACACTATCCAAGATGATACAGACAACGTTGTTGAAAGAAAAAAAGAACACAATTAGAACTCAGAAATCGTAAAATATTAAATTCTGTCCGATTGTCTCCATACATTATAGTTTCAATCATACTATAACATTCTATAATGCCTAATTGGTAAAAATATTGGCAAACAGAACATTTAGTTCATAGAAAATCACTTCACTCCATATTATATATCTATCTTTATAACTAATATATTCATCTGGGGGTAAAAACGTAACCTTTATGGGTTTTAATAATTCATTTATTCTGTCATTAAAACCGACTAGGAAAGATTATTTAATTATTCTTTCATTATAATCTTACATTAATTCAAAATATTGTTAAGGTATAGTATTTTTTTTTACTGAAATAATAATTCTTTCTAATTATTAACTAAATGTTTGATATACTACTACTCATTCAAGTAATAAGTTAATAATAAAGAAAAGAATTATTCATATGTATCATTGATTAATTTGTTATCAGTAATAATCTATTCTAATGATTTCAATTGTTTATATTAGAATATTAACTACATATTTCATTTCTATATAATATTATTTCAATAAATTTATAAACTTACTTTTCCAGATGTTTTTATTCCTCTACATATTGCTAAAAATATTATTGTCCAAGCTAATAAAAGGCATAATGCTAAATCCCATTGAATTGTTCCTAAATTATCAATACCATTTGATATTCGTAAGACACGATTTCTATGATTAATGAAAAGATATAAATAACAATTATTAAATAACTTAATTAGTATTATCAGAAAGGGGTTTTCTGGAGAGTGTAGTAATTTCAATAGTTGAGATCATGAGTCAATTGATGCTAGACCACCATAGAAAAGCTGGAAGCAGTGGACGGCCGTTTCGTCCTATTGTCGGACTCCTCAGCAGTGCGCATCCACAACATATGCTCACTAGTGACTGGCTTCAAGAGGTATTTCATGGAGTTCTAATGAGAAGCAGTGACCAGTGGAGTTCAACCGGGTCAGTTGTGAGATAATAACTAACTGATGACAATAGTGGATGTGGATGTCAATTTCGTGGATTAGTTGAAGTTAAACATTAACACCGATTGATGCCGACTCAGTGGTTTAGTTGATTAAGCGCCTGGCGCGAGACTGATATGTCTTGTGTTTGAATCCCACAAGGTGGGATCGTGGATACGCACCACAATAGAATGAAACGGCCATCCAGTGTTTCCAGGTTTTCCATAGTTATCTAGATTTAACTGACTCATGACCTCAACTGTTGAAATAACCTAATTGTTATTATGTATTTAGTATATATTTAAATACATTTGGAAGTTATTTATTAAATCTAAAATAAACAATAGAGTTTATCGGCAAAATAACTTTAGAGTAAAAAGAATAATACTTATCTTTCTTTGGATTATTTATGTCTAATAGAAGTTGTTTACTTCAGTTAGATTAAATTAATTTTAGCTAAAATAAACATTATCAATGTATATTTCCATTTTCAGTATAGAGTTGTAGAGATTATTGAGCTTTATTTGATATCACGAATCAACCAATGTTAGACCACCACATAAAACCTGTAGGCACTGGACGGCTGTTTCGCCCTAGTATGGGACTCCTCAGCAATACACATCCATGACCCTGCACTCAGGATTGAAACCCAGGACCTTTGGCCTTGCGTGCAAACACTTAACCTCTACACGACTAAGTCGCGTATTACGGTTTTTAATTGTGGTCTAACAATGATCGGTCCAAGATCTTAATTCCTATTTTCATCGTTTCTTTGTGTCATATGAAAAATAAGTTCATGTGCAAACGTACAATTTGTTTAAGTGTTAAGCCTCTACAAACAACTATAGGTTATTTTCAAAAAATAAATATTAGGACACAATAATATAGACTTTTCACGAATAAATATCAATCAAGGAATTCATGTAACGGGTTCCTTCACAAATTTAAATAAAGCAAGAATAACAATATTTGCAGGATACGGTTAATTCATTGTAATCCGTTGTTTGTCGTTCGTCTATACACAAACTAATGCATAACTGAAGAGCAAGTAACAAGATACAATGAATTCATCGCATCCTGAGAACAATGTCGTTCTTGCTGAATTTAAATCAAAGAATTACTTGACGTCGAATAGGACACTTAAACAGGCAATCAACTTTAGCTCTAATAAAATAATCACATACGATTTAACCGTCCCAGCCGTTTATTTATATTCCAGATCACGGTTGACTTCAACTTGAAAGTAGATAGTTCATCATTATTTTAACCAGTTAATATCAAAATTTAGTCTACGTCATGTTCAGTTACTTAGATTAGTAGCCATATTTCAGTGAATTTCCATCAGCATTAAGGACTACAGAAATATGACAATAACCAATATTCAGTGATCACTAAATGGATATATTGTAATCATGCAAGGAGTTATTTACAGCTCCAATAGCCTAACACTAACGTCTCTGAAATGGAGTGAACAAAGTTTAAACCTCACGAGGAGTACCAATTACGTTAATACAGGAGGAGTATTTTGGTTAGGGAGCATAGATTCAAGACTTTGAATTATTTATTACCTAACATTCTCCAAGATTTTAAATCGACATTTTGTTTTCATTAAAGCTATTAAATAACTCATTTGAAGGATATAGTCCTAAAATTATAAAGCATATAGCCATGAAATGCAATAGAAAATGTATCGTCAGATATTGGTATCATAAAGACGACTATTTCTAAGCTTAATTTCATACATATAGATAATAAACTATTTATATACGATTGTTATTTACACACAATTACAATGACGTAACAATATTGGCAACTTTTCATTCTATTCACTTAAGTAATTGTGATTCATTGTTAATAGTTTATTGGGAACGCGTTCATACAATAAACTCTATCTAGTATCATACATTACTGTTAATTTATTTACATTTTGAGTTCAAGTTTGTTTTTGTTTTTTGTTTTGGACCCATATATAAAGAGTATAGTTTTCGTATATCACAATACATTCAATGAATTTCGTACTGAAGTTGAAACATCGGATAAACTAAAAATAGTCTCAGTAAACTAATTATGATATATTTTAGCTTCTAATTCTATACACTAAATAGAAGGTATTCGTTAATATTAGAAATCATTAGAGTCTCATAATGAGTTTTGAATATCAATCGGATTCATATATAATAGTGAACGGAAATTTGGTGAGCAAAACCAATTCACAGTGTTTATGGAAGCAATCAGTGACGTATGAATGATTTCTTATCTGTATATGTAAGTTTAATTGTTTCACAGAAAATGATAAAGAACTCTATTTTTTTCAAAGATTAATTTCAAAGAAATCAAATGTTAATATACAAGAACATAGTTTATGAATTTCTGTTAGTAAAGTTTACAGGTGGATAAATGAATATTTTCTACGTTTAAAGGTTTATACCATGTAAATGGATAGAAGTACAATTTCAATTAACGTTTCTTGCTATTTGAGACTTCACACTTAGATGTATCTACTCTTCAGTGTTGATGCTCACACTGAAAATTGAATACAGTAACCATCTTTTTAAGTGTAAAAGCTTTATAATAATAGATTTTGATAGCTACCAACACCTATTTCTAGGTTAATTTACTGACTTATAACAATAAATTAGATTTCTAATGTACTACAGTTCAAATAGTGCTTAAGTTTTATTTCTCGGAGTTTTCATAACTTAAAGTTTACTTGATCCATTTACATAAAAACAACTTCATTGCGCTAAAAACTGACTATCAACTTCGAAATTTTTACATTTCGAATTTAAACCTGTTAGTTATCGTATCTCTGTTGAACTAAACACATTTTAATGAATTACAGCTGAATACTAATTGCTTATACTTTCTTTAAACCGTCTGAAGCGTTTTTGACGTATGTGGTAGAATCGATCTACTAAAACATGTAAGAAGGGTAGCGAAATCAGTATTTAAAAGTTTGGTGTGAAGCACTATTTAACGGAAGATATTTGTACAGACATTTTTGATGAAATTTTGATGAGATCTTTATTTTATTCAATCTCGACAATTTTTTTCAGTGTCATATAACCTGCTTAATATTAACGTATACTTTCACAAGTGAAATCTATAAGTAAGTGATTAGCAGTAGAGAATGTTTAGCCAAATCTTTAAAATAAGAATTAATGTTTATAAGAATAAAGTAACTAATAAAAATAATACGTTAAGCTAATAAGATCGCTAGCATGGTAGCACTGAGAACCGTTTATTACAAGTTCCTGATGAGTGCTTACCAAGCAGCATTTGATTAGATCATTAGCTGCACCATATGAGTAAACACGTAATTTAGTCGTGTAGAATACAAAACGACTAACTGAGCCCCATGAAGAGAGTTTCGGAGTATACGAACTCACTCCCAGTACTCTGAAGCAGGATCAGCTCCAAATATATGTTGACGGAGAAGTGATGTTGAATTGCTTAAATTTGTTCTCACTACAGCATCAATACATGAGTTAGTATTCCAGGAATGTCCACATTTAGCCCACGGAAGTTCTTTACTGAATGAAGCGAAAATAAAATGAAATGCCCAACCCAGAATCACTGTGTAATAACTGTTCACCAAAAAGTTTATCATAGTGCTAGCACATCCAATGCCTGTGAAGTAAAAATAAAAACAGGGAAATTTAGTTGGGCAGTTAATATAAATTGAAGATATTTCTTTAATGGCAAATCAATATCCGGCTTCTTAAATTTTAAACACACATACCTCTAAAAAGTGGACAAATATCCAGGCTGCAATAGCTCCTTTAGACATAAACTGACCCAAAGCAACTTCAAGAAGAAATAATGGTACACCCGCAACGATCACACTGACGAAGTAAGGTAGAAGAAAGGCTCCTAAATAAAATTCAAAAAGTTCTTTAATATGCATCCTTTGTTAGTTTTAAAAGAGTTTTATTTGAATAAAACAAGGGCGGATGTGTTTTATTTGATAAAGAAAATCATGTCTTCACTTCATTCATCGATGAAGTATTTTTAGTTTGTATATATTATCACAAGATCTTATTTCTCTGAAACATCATCAACTTATTGGCAATAGAGATGTGGGCAGTTGTATTGTTATGAAATTTATCGCATAAATCTGGGAATTCGTATAAATATAACACCATGATATCACAGTCGTTTTCAAGTTCTAAGTAAATTACTTGAATTATACATTATTTTGTGAGATTTGCAATTGAATATGGACTAACCAGTTTCTCAGAAAAAAAAAAGATTTATGAATGAGATTTTCTTTCAACTCTGACGAATTTGGGACTGTCTTGTTATCATCTCGAAATCACCTTTTTAAAAGATTTTCCTACATAATAAATATTACTTGATCATGTATTAATTATGTAAGATTATAACCCCCCTTCACGAATGTAGGAATGTCTAAAGCATAGAAATCTTTAAAGAAGCTTTAAAAATTACCGCATCATAAATAGAGCATCCTATGATAAAGACAATGATAGATTAGCTCAGATCAACAGATATATTGAAGTTTCCTTTATCAACTTAAAAGGATGTTAAAAACAGAATGTATACACCCCGACTCAAAATGTTTTTCATAAATTTCAAACCTTATCTAAATTTATCTCTGGAAATTCAGACAACTCATTAATCATCATATATATTCTCTTGTTCACATAGACCCATAGTATTCTCATGATAATTCTTTTTTTTTTTATATTTTCATCAGGATTTTATGAAATTTATCAACCTGAATCCCTTTATCATCCATCTAGGTAAATGCCAATACATTATTGAATAATCTTAACCAAAGATTAAATGTCCAGTTATTGATGATATGCTTCTATCAATTATTACTTATTTAACAATGTATGTAATAATGATTATGGTGAACAAGTTGTTTGATGTCAGTTATTAGTGTAAATGTTAAACTTCTTATTCTGTTCAATGATTATCACTATAACAATCTAAGCTGCAGCATGATAAGAGGTGTTTTCTTGAATTTCTGCTTTCAGAAAACATAACGACATTATTTTTTTCCAACAATTAAGAAATTTCTTGTGTGAATATCACACAATCAATGTTTAACTGAAAAGAAAAGTGTTAAAAAAGTGCAGTACACTTCTAAATCTACTTTAAATTATGTAAAGTAACAAAATGATCAGATTTGAATATATTTTGGAAGATCTGTATAGTATGTAACACTATTTCACATGTTTTTTCATAATAATTTACACAGAATAAGTACAAATATATATGAACTTTCGTCTTCAGTCAGTCAGTAACAACGTAGAACTTTGTATGTACGTACATCAGTTCGAGTTGCTATACCACATTAGCACAGAGATACAATTGTCGATTCAAATCCCGTAGTGATAGAGATAGTCAAAGTATAAGCAGTAATCGGAAAGATTAGGGTTTGAAGAGGTTATTCCAGGAGTATAATCCAGTGAAATAAATTTGGAAAGAGGAAAAATGGATATGAAGGAACTTTCGTCTTAATTTAATCGAATAATTTCATAGTATTTTGGGCGTTGAGTATAAAGTCTACAAATGTTTACTTAGCATGTTTCAAAGATGTTGTACGATACTTCAGGATGAAATTATATCTACCATGCACTCCCTGTTATTAATACAATTGTATACAGACGATAAATGTTTAGTCTTTATTATATTGAAGTTTAATAAGTCACATGTTAAATCAAGCAAACTTTCTAACTTAAATCACGAATAAGACGACATGATTTTTTATAAATAAAAAATCCACCATGTTCCAATTGAAGGAATGATTGATTCACTAAGTTTCTAAAGCATTTAGTCTAGTCTAAAAGTCCATAAACGTGATATGAACAAGAATGTTTGTAACATTAAAGCCTTTAAGAGCTCTTATTACATTATATACTTAATAATTCAAACTTTCTTTGCATTATTCATGCCTAATAAATATGTTTTACCTATTTCAAAATGTATTTCTTTTCAAGTTTTTGTTTCTTGTTTTAGTTTGAAAAGCTTGAATCTATTGAGTTACAAAAGCTGTCTAGTTATAAGATACAAATGCAGATTAATATTAATACAGATTTTTTCAGTTCATTTGTACATTTTAAAATTACAACGAAAATCTCTAATTAGTTACAATTAATAAGAACACGAGTGGGGATGATTGAATTTATTTGACACGAAATAACAGAGCATCTCACTAAAATCTGAGAACCATATAGTAAATAGTTAATTTGCAAAATATCAATCCATCGTTCCAAACTTGACTTTTCATTTTACAATTATCAGTCCATTGTCTCGAATTTCATTCTTCATGCATTTTCATACTAATTGCGTTCTGTTCCGTTTTCTCCTTATCGATCTTCTACTGAAATACATTCTATGTTTAACCACCGTTATATACTACTTATGTGGATATAATTAAGCCACACCACACGTTGACTAATTAAATTTATTATTTAAAAAATATTTGTGAAAAAAATGTTCATAATACAATGAGTACATTGTAAATTTGGAAATATCTGTCGAATTCAATACATAATTATTTAGTATAATTAACTACTATGGAACTTGTAGACAGTAGTAAATATCAAACCAAAAAGAATATATGTTGTGAAGAGCGAATTAAAGTAATAAGATAATGAATGAATTTAAATTCACTATCCAGTTTTTAACCACATTATGTAATCTCAACTATAGTTTACGGTTACTGAATACACCTTAACGAGGGTCGTGGTATCTTACAAGAGGGTATTTTTCAATGTTCAGTTACTTTATGAGATGATTTCATATTCTAATTTATTTAGCACCGACCTCTACTGTACTCAGCACTTCAGAATTAATTTTAACGCTACTAGTCCGGAAGGGTACACCAAAAATGAGAAATACTTTCAATTAAGTCATGGTCAAGTACTGAAAAAAAGCCAACACATTTTTTCAAATTCTCAGGGATGTATTTTTACAGGCAGATAATACTCGTTATGGATTTGATAGATGGGTTTTAATCAAGATTTAAAGTTAGAGAATACAGCTTTGGCTGTTCGTAACTGATAAATTACCATACAAACGGACTTCATAAAACTCTATATGGTATATATCTCTTATTATTACCATAATAATTATGGTATTATTTTACTACTATATTCGACAAACTCACAGTTCATGAAGCATATAATAACATGGTACATAATATTTCTGAGGTGTAATGATTGAATAACACTCAAAGGAATTAAGTTATGGGACCCTATATGAATTGTTTTTAAAATAGATAATCAGTTATTTTTCTGACTTTTAATGAACTATTTAATTCAATTACGAAGTGTTAATTAAAAATAGCAGAATAATAACAACATTCATATTCAGAAAACATCACGTGGTAAAGATCTTTTGGAATATTCAAAATGATTTAATTAAACTACCCAAACGTTTGTAAAATATGTAAATATATTTCAGTGTCATTTGGGCTTGACCATTTAGTCTTTCAATTTACTTGTATATAACAGATTTTGCAAATATTTAAAAATATACTGCATTTTTAGTTTACAGTGTTATTATACCTTTAAATTAAAACCTATGAATTTAAGAGCATTCCAATTAGCAACCGTTATTGTGGTTTTATTTCCGAAAAGCTGAATGAGTGATAAACTTAACCATATTATCACAATAATTATAAAATATTTTATTAATTTACCTCCACCATTTTTATAGCACAAGTAGGGAAATCTCCACACATTACCCAAACCAATAGAAAATCCCATACATGCTATGAGAAAATCAATTTTTCCTTTCCATCGATCACGTTTTGTTATCGTTTGTGATGTTGTTTGTGTTATTGTACTCCATGAAGCCAGATTGCCCAAATTATCTTCTGATTTGAATGATTTACTTGGATCTTCCATATAGTTATTATCAACAGTTAATTTATTTAGTAATTCACACCGAAATAATAATGAAAGCTTTAAGTAATATTTATTCTGTACTGTATATGAGTTTACTACTGAATGGATATTCTAACACTTTTGATTGCTTGTGATCATCTGGTTGTTAATTGGATCGTTATACGATTGGAGTAAATTTCCAGATAATAGAGACACTTTTAGAAGTTATTTAATTATGTAGCAGTGTAGTAGGTATAATAAACGGTTATCAGATAGCAGTAGTAGTAGTAGTAGTAGTAGTAGTTGTTGTTGTTGTTGTTGTTGTTGTTGTTGTTGTTGTAGCAGTAGTAATGGTGAACCCTGATTTATATCCACAAACTGTTAAAAACCATATTTAAAAATATAATTTTTATTTATATTCAAATTTTTAATTTGATGAATTTGCCCTTTAATTTATAAAAGCCAATCAGTGAACGAGAAAGCTAAAAACAAATAAATGTTCACATACACATTTACAAATTGAACCAATAGTCTTTTTGTGTATAAATAATATTAAATCTTTTCAACCAATCAATGAGCAGTTAATCGATCATAGGACCTTGATTAGTTTAAATTACAAAAGAGCACCGAAATCAACTATCATATCCATTCATTGAGGAATTAGTTGATTTGGTACTCTTTTGACAACATTCGAGTGTATAATTTACGCTCTAAGGATTTTAGTTCTTTTTTTCTGTAGAATTATTTATTTAATTATGTAATGATACTGTGTAAAATTCAGAGGAATTTGGCTTGTATTAACCAAAGTAGATTTTTCCATTATTTTTAGGACAATCGCATGTATTTAACACGAACTTACAGGATTTGTTAATAAAATCTAATAATCAAATAGTAAATACGTAATTTGCAAAATATCCATCAATTGTCTCAAAATGACTCAGACTTCATTGTTCTTGCATTTTCCTACAAATTGCATTCTGTTCCATTCTTTACCGTTCCATCCTCTTGTCCCTCTGCTGCCAGACATTCTGTTCCTGACCAACATCATCTACTACTTATGTCAATATAAGTGGTACATACCACACATTAATTAAATAGTTAAGTGTCTGTGGAATTGCTTGTGGAAATTGTTGTAATTTAATGGTTGGATTCATTAATCGACTAATGCTAGACCACCATGAAAAACCTGGAAGCATTGGACTTCCGTCTCGTTCTAGTACGAGACTCTGTAGCAGTGTGCATCCACGATTCAGCACACGGGACTCGAACTCGGGACCTTCGACCTCGCTCGCAAATGCCTAACCTCTAGACCATTAATTGACATATAACGGTGTTAATTTCGAACTTCAACCAATCCACAAGATTTCGTCACTGTCCACTATTGTCTTCAGTGTGTAACTGCCTCACAACAGACATGGTTTGATTCTATTGGACACGTTTACTCACTACAACTCCGGGAAACACATTTTGAAGCCAGTCACTAGTGAGCGCATGATAATTATGATCAGAGTGAGAGTTTGTGGAAATTTTAGTAATTTAATGGTTAGATTTATGAGTTGATTTAAACTAGACCACCCTGGAAAACCTTTTAATAGACTTTAAAATTCCTAATAAAATATTAACTAATGTGTTTATATTTTAACTCTTTTGTTCAATTCCACGAATGCATATAACTGTACAAAATGTGTCACACAGACAACTTTCTTGAAATTATAACATTTTGCTTCTTCTATCACAATATTTTATTTATTGACACCGCTCAATTCGCTAAACACAATGAATACATTTACAATTGAATTGTTCAACTCACTGAAGACAACGTCTTCAAAAAATGAGGATTTTTAAAAAAAATTATGAATAAATATCAGTTTCCTTCTACTTTGAACGACTTATAAATTTACTACACTTTAATTTTCACTAAGTTTAATCATTTTACTTTATCTTCATACTATTCATTAATTCATACATTCATTGATTTATCCTGTTGGACATATGTGAAAAGTATATAATGAATTCAATTCGTTGCTAATTCTGTAAGAAAAGAAAAAATATTTTTAAACTGTTTAACTAGAATTTATACGAATATTCGTCAAGATTAGAATGAATATTTTGACAGAAATTGGGCGCCGAATATAAATAAGTCATTATATGTGAATATTATATTTGAAATTCAGGATAATACCCTGAATACGTTCAGACCAGTTACCTGGACAAAACGTTGGAATTATTTAAATTCCAATCACGGAGATTATTTCAAATATAAGTTTCATCTATAATGTCAAACTAGAAGTTGATAAATAAAATGATGACGAGACTCTAATTTATGAACCACCTTTGAACAAATCTTAAGTGACCTTGAGAACTATTAGCCAATCAGCAAACAGTCAGAATAGAGTAAAAATATACTATACAAAACCAAGGAAATAAAGTGGATACACGTCTTGTACATGGTTCGAAAACTTGTCAAGGTTAGAAAGAGGTTCAGAGGTTGTAAAATCGTAATTCATGCAGTAGAGGAAATCTTCCATATGGCTACAGAATAGTCGACCTCTGGAGCCATGATAAAGTCTCGAAAACTCTTTCAGCCTCGACTACATAGCTTCAATATTGTTTGTGTGCATTCCGGTTGTTGAATACACAAAATACCACCTGTGGATAACGACACGATGCACATAATCAAACCTCTGTAGGAGTCTGTAAGCTCTCCAATCATCCGCATATATTGTCGTACCTGGCTGCAGCCAGTGTTACTGGTGCTTTTATTATCCAGTTCGCAATAATTGTCATAAGTTGTCTTAGTTAGGAATTATATATAGGGTTTTCATTACGAACTGACATCAGCTATAATGCCAATCCAAATAGAGTTTGAACTCTATTTAGCCAAACAGATGAAAGACTTTCGCGTTAAAATCCGAGATCTATTATCTTATACCTGATTGATTCGTCCACAAATTATAGTCTCACCTTTTTATTTGTTATAGCCACTCAATTATCACGTTTTGTACAAAATTCCCTGTAAACCGATCGTACGTTAGCATTACGCGCTGAAGTTGGCGCTGTAACCATGAAATCTCTAAAACGCCTCTGGTTGGCTCGTCCATAAATTAGAGTCTCGCTAAAATGATATACATGAATACATTACTACAATCAATAAAACTATCCCATAGCTTCAAATGAAATAGAGTTCTTTTCATTCTTTTTTCGTTTTTGTTTTATTTTGTTTTGTAAACCAGATTAGAAATACCTCACCTTTATATGACATTTTCACTTATTGATCTTTACAAGTATGCGCCAAACATTTCTAGAATGATCTATATTATTTTTCATATCTGTTTTGTAACGTTGGAACAGAATCTAAAAAAACAGACTATTTTAATATTTAACTGTTTTACTATTTTAAGACTAAATTCTTCTCTTGTTCTAATTGAATGATGTACTTCCTTTTACAAAATAAGTTCCGTATAGATAAATCAATAGTTTTTTGGTGTGTGCTACTTATATTGACATAAGTAGTAGATGATGTTGGTCAGGAACAGAATGTCTGGCAGCAGAGGGACAAGAGGATGGAACGGTAAAGAATGGGAACAGAATACAATTTGTAGGAAAATGCAAGAACAATGAAGTCTGAGTCATTTTGAGACAATTGATGGATATTTTGCAAATTACGTATTTACTATTTGATTATTAGATTTTATTAACAAATCCTGTACTTTTATGCTAAATACATCCGATTGTCCCCACTGGTGTTCTTGTTCACTATAGTTTCAACTAATATTCCTATAAAAAGTGTGGTATTTAGTATTTTATGAACTATCTTTTTCTTCTCAATTTTACAATACTGATATCATAAAAAATACTAAAACGTTTTTTAAAAACTATGTTAAATAATTCCGCTCAAATATTAAAACAAAATTTAGGTTGGGTGATAAAGTATTTTCAGAAGGGGTTTTGTTGAGATTTTTTAGAAATTTCACTGAATGAAATCATGAGTTGTGAGATATCAACTCACCGAAGACAATGGTGTACGGTGGCGCGACTTCGTGGATTGGTTGATGTTAGACACTAACACCATTGTATGCCGGCTCAGTGGTCTAGTTGGTTAAGCGCTTGGCGTGAGACTTATATGTCCTGGGTTTGAATCTCACGGGGTGCAGGATCGTGGGTGCGCGGTGCTGAGGAGTTCCATACTAGGACGAAACGGCTGTCCAGTGCTTCTAGGTTTTCCATGGTGGTCTAACTTCAAATGACCCATGATTTCAATCAATGGTAAAGTATTTCATCTCTTAAAGTTAGTTCCTTGTTATGTGAAGAATAAAATTATTACCAAATAAATGATAGTCGTCTAGTGATAATAGCTCATTGTGTAAAAATGTGAGTTAGATAAGTAAATCGGCAAAAGAACGTTTGATTTTGTTTGTAAAGTTAATAATATGTAATTAGTAGAACGAGTGTAAAGATAATTAGGTATTCAAATTATTAAGGTGAATAGTTTATGCAAGAATAAAATATAGAAACTAAAATTAAGTAGAAGTGTGAAACTGTGAGAAAAGTAAGAGGTAATAAGTAGAAGAATATTCTAAAGTCATTGACTGTACAAATTTTCTCTGCACACAAAGATTAGGTTAAGTGATGCGTGTAAATATAGCTTCTGTAGTACTTTAAAGGTGGATTCTAGGAGTAAAGGCCAAGTTCGTATAGATGTGATGACTGGCATCGATTAAATGTAACAAAACTGAGCTTCTTATTGTTTTGTTTTATCCTTTGGTTAATCAAGATAGCGGTATTTGGAAATACAATGAAGTATTCTCTTGATTACAATCAAAGATAATCATTGCTCAGATATTGTAAACCTAGGCAAAACAACAACACAATACCTTCTGATCTTCAGTAATTATCCAGTTAATGTCAGTTTATGGCCACCTTAAAGTTGCATATTATAAAACATTTGAAGAACAAGACCAAGTTTTTCAGTATGAAACGAATATATTATATCTCATGGCTTAACACCACCAGCAACCAAC